CTAGGTTCCTTATTGCTCCGTACCAATAAATTCTCTAAAAAAAAAAAAACAGGTTTGCTGTGGGTGTCTTGTAGCTCACCATGAAAGCATCTGCCTTTGAAGATTAAGTTCATGGGTTTGATTCCCTGTCACTGATGTTGGATGGTGCTGTAGCAGTTGTTGCGAACACATGCTTAATTATCTTAATCTTAATGAAGGGTGTTTCTTAAAAATCTGACGATTTGCTGCCTTCTGTGTCCAGAGACATAAAATTTATTTATGCTGCTACTTTGTCCTAAAATGGTGCGTGGTTCCTTGTTGCTTCCTTTCAATAAATTGTTTCAAAAACTGCAATTTTGCTGCAGATGTGGCTCGCCGTTTGAGCCTCCGCCTTTGAACTCTAAGATCGTGGGTTCAAATCCCTGTCGTGGATGTTAAAATGAGTTGCGTAGATTGTAGAAGATGTATCACCTAGTGGGCTTAATCATAGGAAATGGAGATCTGTCTTAAAAATCTAAAGATCTGCTGCCTTCTACGACCAGGGGCCACTACTTGACTCCTCGATGTTTTCCTGGTGCTTGGACCCCGCAGATTGCCACTTGCGGCTATATTTTATCATTATTTTTTGTTATTGTCCATGTTATTGCTGTTCTCTGGCTTCTGTGATTGAGTCGCTGGCTATGCTGCCACAGCACAGCTTAAATGTCTTCCACAGTACCATGCACACAAGCACAACTTGCAGCTTTCCGAGCGCATATTTATAGGTAGCTCAATACAGAAAAATCCAGGTAGGATGTTTTGATAACTTAAATCTCCTTATCAACAAAAAAAAAAAAATCACTTTTCTGTTTTAAACCACTGAGCTGAAAATATTGGATATCGGTATTGACCCAGAATTCTCATATTGGTGCATCACAAAATTTTATAAAGAATCCTTGCTTTTTTATTAACAATCTTTATCTTAAAAATCCTTGCTTCATACTTGTTAAAGTATGTATGTATGTACTTGTTAAAGTAAAGTATGTATTTACAGTCAATTCATGATGGCACCCTGTCACCAGCATTGAATGAAGCCACCATTACTGTAATCTGCAAAGAAGGAAAGGATCCCACTGAAGCAAGCAGTTATAGACCAATATCTCTCCTGAACTGTGACCACATAATATTAGCTAAAACATTGGCATTGAGGTTAAACCAGTTAATAGGAAAACCTGTCCACCCTGACCAGACAGGCGTTATTCCAAATAGACTTTCCTTTTTTAATCTGTAGCACCTTTTCAATTTAATTTACACTCAACCTAGTCATCTTGATGTAGAAAAGGCTTTTGATCATTTTGAGTTGTTTTCCCTTTTCAAAGCCTTGGGGAAAATGTGAATTGGGTTGTAGATTTAAGTCTTGAATCAAAACTCTGTATCATAGTCCCTCTGCCAGAATTAATGTGAACAAGTTGCTCTCCCCATCTTTTCACTTACGTATAGGTACTGGTCAGGGGTGTCCTCTCTTACCTTTGCTTTTCAATTTGGCCCTAGAACCCCATTGCACAGGCTGAATCTGATTGAACCTTCACATCTATGGTTATGGATCAGATCATACATTAAGTCAAATCTGACTCCGTGCCAATGATCTTCTCCTTTAGATCACAGACCCTCAATCCTGTTGTTTTTGAAATAATCTCTCATTTTGGCACCTTTTCAGGTTATAGAGTCAGTTGATTCAAAAATGAGTTAGTGCCTGTTAATCTATTTGAGATGTGCAGCACTTCCTTTTTAAGACAGTGTCTAACTGGTTTACATTATAAAAAGCTATCTGTCATTATTCAAAGCCAACTTCCTACCTCTATTGTCTGTTCCTGTTTCTTTGGCAGGTAGAGTTAATGTAATAAAAAATATTTTCCTCCCTCAAATTCACTTTTCCAGAATATTCCCATCTTTTCGTCTTTAATTAGCTAGATTCAACTATTACTCCCTTTCTTTGGGACTACAAGGCTCACAGAATTATTAAAAATAAAAAAACACACAATGGGAGTAGGATTGGGGTTACAGATTCTGGATTCTCTCTGGGAAGATGCACTGGAGTGTGTACACACATACACAGCCAATTCAAGGCACCATCTTACACAATTTAAGATCTTGCAAAAGCTATGCAAAATTGGGACTACATAAAATCTTCCCAGACTTCTATGTAATAAATGTCATGCTGCGGAGGCAGCATGTCTTCACAGTTAAATTCTTTGTGCAAAATTAACACCTTTTTGAGTGGATGTCTTCCACTGTCTTTCAGAAATCCTGGACAAAGTACTGTACCCAGACCCACTTTTCACAGTGCTTGGAGTGTCTCAGTGTCTGAGCTGTCCAAACTCAAAAAAACTTCAGTGGCAGTCGCTACCCTATGCTCTTATTACAGCTAAGAAACTTGTATTTTCCTCCTTTCATGATCTTAATTTTCCATCCGTTAAATAATGGCTTAATTAAACGATTAGACTGTTATGCTTGGAGGAAATAAGGTTCATGCTAGGTGACAGAGCTGACCAGTTTAACACAATTTGATAGCGTCTCTGACACTTAGACAGCGCTAAACTATTAATTGACAGATGACTTTGCGGTGTATCAGCACAGTATTGATATGACTTAGTTGGAGGTGCCCTGGGGGCTTGGTGAGTGGGTGTGTTTTGTTTTTAATATTTATTAATCTACATATTTTATTTTTGTTTATTTTTTGTATCTTTAAGCCAGAATAACAAAATTATAATTGTAAGTACTGTGTGTTAGATTTTGAGGAATAGTGAAAAAATAAGAAAAGAATGGGAAGTAAATAAAGTAAGTAAATATGTCTTGTCTGACATTACTGAGAATATTTGTAGTAATGGTCCCAAGAAATTAGTATTTGTACTTAGTAGCAGAAAAAATATATTTTTAAAGACTTGCATAAATAAATAATATTACTGAAGCATATAACCTCTTTATTTACCTTTCTGAAGCTGACACACAATATGTTTAGAAATGGAATAAAAATATTACTTTAATTTGTTTGTGCTATAAAAATCATTGTGCTGGTACCATTTTCACAGATTTTAAACTTAAGCAATAGAATACAAGAATGATGTTCTCTTTAGTATGTGACCAATGGGCTGCAGGTCAAATATTATTATCTCATAGAAGTTGTCTAAGGTACCCATTTTCTGTCAAGTGGAAACGTAGTGACTGTTAAAAGAAAGTCAAGCGAGTCACATCATAGCAACAGGTGGAGAAATGATACTTTTTTGTGAAAAACTGATACTAGTAGAATGCTTCTTAGCCAGTCAGATTGTGTTGTCAGAAGCAAAGGCCACCACTCACTGGACTTAAAGTACAGACATACAGTACAAACTGCAGCCACTATATCATTACACTATAGGTATAATGCATCGCAGTGAAAGCACCAGTGAACATAAAACTCACGTTCATTTTTATATTCTACTTGTGTGAATTTGATGGAATAAAACAATCACAACCTCTTTATTTTTTTCTCTTCACAAACTCATTATTTTCAGCTAAAATATACAAGACAAAAAACACTAGGCTAATAACGTCATCTGAGGTGACACACAATCCTATACATGTTGTGAGTTGAAGTAATTGAAAAACAAGTTGCATGTGGAACATTTGATTGATCCAGCTATTGGCCAAACTAGTATAGTGTTGTTTACATATTTGCAGCTAGCATTTGTAAAACAGAATCTTTTCCAGCTGTTACTGCTGTCCTTTTCTTTATTTATATGTCTGTCCTTTATCAGTCTGTAGTTCTTCAATATACATTTTAAAAGTATTTAATGTAAATTTTAAATCTGCTCTGGATATGTTAAGCTTTAAAATGAATGTTTCATGGGTCTTCACAGTTGTATTTGATGCCATATACATCCTGTCTTAAGCACTTCAAGGACTGCATCTCTGTCTCCTGAGCTTTTTGTGAAATTATTATTAGAATAATTACATAGACTACAATAACAGGCCTAAAGGCAATTTTTTTTTGATGGCTAGCAAGACCCTATACCCTATACTTTACTACGTCTGTCCACATGAGATTCTGTACATAATATATCTGCCAAAAACAAGAAATATATTAACTGAAAAATAAAATTTTAAAAATACAATATTGCAATTTGACCAAAAAGTACATTCTCCAATAAATTAACTTGACATGTTATTAACATGAAACCAGCTGATTTAAAGTGAAATCATTTTTTTAATGTTGTTATACCAAGTTAATATTTCAGCTCCATTCACTCATTCTGTAAGCAGGTGCTCAACTCAATGTCTAAGATGCAGTTTGGAAACAGTCAAAGTTATCAAGCACTTGTACATAACCATTCAGTGCAGCAGAATGTAAACTTGAATACTATTTTGATAATTGCAAATTTTTTAGATTGATCCCCTTAAAGAGTTTGCCAGGGTAATGTGAACTGGCCTAGAAGTTATTATGATAGTGCTATTAGAGAATTATTAAATAGGGAATTTTAAAGAACACGTTTATAGAGGTCAGCAGAATCCTTTAGTGTTGTCAGGTTGGTATTTGTGAGAGTTTGGAGGGCATTATTTACCTTCAGTGGTAGTTAAGGATGCAAACTGGAATGAGACATGCTCTCTGTATTTCACCTCCTGAGTCTGACAACGCACCACTTCAAAGAAATCCTCAATCCTTTTACATAGATTTACTGTTTGTGCTGTGGTTAAATGCATACCACTAGTGATTACATGTGCATCAGTGCTCAAAATAGGGTGCTAACATCAGTAATCATAATATTTCATTCGTATTTCAGGCAAATGTAATAATAACTTCATTTTTGGGTAATATATATGTCGTTAATATATTGGCTGCTAATAAATATATATATGTGTAATTGTGTTAACCCAAGCTTAATCCATGAGATAATCAGATCTGGCTTGTGTCAATATATCCATTTTTTTTTAAACTGACTTTCATAAAACAAGGCCCAGGCTGCTTGTAGTTAAGGCTTTTATGTTGTTTTTCTTTTCTTGTCCAGTTGGTGCTGATATTTCAGAGTTTAGAGATGATTTTCCTGCGGACAGCAAGTGACCTTTCTCATTTCAGCATGGTGGGCTCCACAGTTGTGAAGAAGATTGTCTCAACACACATGAAACTGCTGCAGTCCTCTTTGTGTTCAGCGAATCGTCAGTAAGTTTCTCTGCTCCAATTCAACTGCATACCTGTTAGGGCAGTGCTCAATTTTAACACAGACATTTTGCCCAATAATTGCAAATAATTGATTTTGCCCAATAATTGCAAATTGAAGCAGAAGCACACTTCCTATAGAAATAGGGAAAATGCCATAGTCATAGACTGATTTGGAATACTGAACTACTTCTCTGAGGCTGAGTATTGTCAGCAACTTCACAATATGATGCGTATCACAAGACAAGCATCACAATATGATACGATACAATAACAAAAGATACTAGATGTACAATAGGTGGTTTTAGACATGATTTACCATAAATCATTTGTTTTAAAAACTACAGTAATAATAAATATAAAACAGAGCATATCGCCACAAGCTTATCTACAATATATTGCTGTATTGATATTTTGAACACAGCCCTAGTCAGTGCAATATGAGTTTCTATGATTGACACACTGTTAAGGGCTGCAATGACAGAATGGATCAAATTATCTTACATGTGCAAGCATCCAGAATGATGTCAGAACAGATTAGAGTGCTTCCATGTGGAGGGTTTGGAACCCAGCATGTAGAGCAGATGACTTGACCACTCTGCTACAGAGCTAATTACAGATCTTGTAAAAATACAAAACATGATGGCTGTTTCCACTCCCAGAGTTGTGTACAAAGTGTGTGAAATCTCAGATAATGAGCTTTTTAAAGAATTAAATATGTATTTATACATTTTTAGCAGGTCTATACATATAAATGTGCCCTCAAAGGTATGACATGGTCCTTAAAGATCAAGGGAAGCTAAATCTGTGTTTTCTTTTCAATTAGGTTAATCTTGTTCTTGCATGCAAACAGTAAACATTTACTACGTATATCCTTTGAGTAATGTTTCAATGACCAATTACAAGGCTGACGTCACTTGTCCCTCCCACACAAAACAGTTTAAAGAAACTTGGTGAGCTAAAGATAACCCAATATAGCCAAAAGTTACCTAGACCACCTATCTGTAGCTACCTGTCACCCCTTAGTTCATTAAGTAGTATATGAACATATCTTTCACGTGTTGTTTCATCCCTCCCTCCATCTGCATATGTTAGATCGTTCCTTCGCATGTTGTTTCATCTGTTCATTTGTTTGTTTGTCCGCCTACCACCTGTTCATTTGTGACTCTTTTCATCTAGCTGCCGTTACGTAAAAGCCAGATAATGATTTTAGTTCTTTATGAGCGGAGAGCAGGCTAGGAGTGTTGGACAGAGAGCTATCAATCAAACTGCTCGTTAGCCATGCCCATACAGTTCACACATAGGTCTGATTCGCATATTTAAGCCATGGTTCATATTTATATCTTAGATTTTTCATCCATGCTTTGCTGGATGTTTAGTATATAACTTAAGTTTAGTCTCATACAAACAATTTTAATATTTTACTCTATGTTCCCTGGGATTTTAAGGTCCAGTTGTGTACCTAGGTATATTTCTTAATTATTCACTATTTCAGGACAAACGTACATATTTATACCTTCCATAACTTTTTTAATAAAGTAAAAAGAAAGGCTGCAATTAAGTCAGTGCAACTTAAAAAAAAGATACAACTGCAGTAGGAATATGGTGCATTTATGTTTCCTAACTGAAGGTTCTGCAGAAACAAATCTCCCAAAAAACAGGGTCTGAACTTGCTGTACACCCAGTCAGAGGAACATTATTATTTATTGTTATGATGCTGTATAATCATTATCTATAATCATAATTTTTAAATTCTCTTATTGTCATTGCCATATTCAGTAGCTTCATCTAATATCATGTTTTATGTCAATATCTTGCAGTTTTAATGGTCAGTAACAAAAACAACAACAAATATTTTTGTTTATAGAGCCCTTTGAGCAAAACTTCATGAATTTTGAAGGATATGTGTAAGTGGACTGTTGTACAGTTTAGATTTGAAACATGTACTCAACTAACCATGGGCAGTTTTATGGGTTTTGATTTTGTTTCACTTTGTGTTTTATTGTAATGTACTTCCTGGGGATCATTTGAATAAGCCAATCATAATAAACCATTTGGCACCTTACACACAAGGCAGAGTTAAACCAATCAGTACTGAATCAAGGCTGTATGATCAGTTAATCTAACTATATTAGTTTGCTACTAGATCAATGTGTTTGTGCAATAATTGATTTGTTTTATTTAATGAGAATCTGACTGGGTGACTGGTACTGCCAAGCATCCAGAGCTGCCAGAGTCAAAAAGTCAAAGCTCTCTGGTCAGCTCTGGTTAGAATCTCGTGTCAGCTGTCCTCATGTACTTGTTCACAAAAACTACACTAAACATTGATGTTTGAACAAGTTTGTTTTGTGTTTTTGTATGCAGGTTTGTACAGCAGTGTCTCCGCTTGCTGGCAGCAATGGTGTCCCAGGGTGCGGACTCTGCACGGGAGATCTTCAGCAGTTTGGTCTACACTAAAACACTCAGCAGCCTTGCTCGCATTAGAGACAAAAGTGTGAGCTTTTCAAGTGGCTGAAATCTTAATCATCTGCTCCTATAGGTTTAAATTCATGTGAACCAGCTTTCTGGTACTCATAGCAGGAGAGTCCAGTTTTTTTTTTTTGGGCTGGTGTGACTGAGGACTTTCATTCTAGCAAAGCAGGAGAGCACCTGATTTGTTGGTGAAGTCTGAGACCAACTGATTAAACAAGTAGAATCAGGTGTGACCAGATTGTTTGGAATGAAAACCTGCAGTCATACTTGCCTTTTATAGTTAAGATTGGGCACCTTGCTCTAGAGATGCTCATCATTAACAATATATGCAGACAGTGCTGAAATACGCATATCTTTGTTAACACAATTGATACACTTTTTGATAGATGACTGATAGCCAAGAAATGGGATAATGGGAAACCACTGCATTGTGAAACCCTTTTAGCCCTTTTAGACATCCAGTTATGTCATTAGTTCTGTTTCAAGTGTAGTCTATACCTTAGCCCATTGCCTTAAAACTTACAAGCAGTAGAAATGGCTGCTTTGCCAACCGTGAACAGGGTTGGGTAGTAATGGAATACTGAACTGCACAAATCAAGTAAGACTTAGGGTAAAGACATTTGTTAGTTTTGCAGGGAACATAGCTCACAAGCAGCAGTGTTAAACTGGTGATTTGCTGGACATTCACCCTCTTGTTTAAAGTGTGAGAGTCACACAGGCACCCGTTTAACCGAAATCGTCCAAAGGAACTGTAGGAAAAATGTAGGAACAATACATTTATAGTGTCTGGAATACAACAACTGTCTCTCAAAGTATCTTAAATTATACAATGTCAGAGTACATACTATATTAAAATATACAGTAAGATGTTTTTATTTTTTTGTGCATGTTTGTTTAGTGGACTGGACAAGTTATCACAACACTGTGACTGTGTGACTGGTCCCTGTTAATTACAGCACTGAATAAATTGCACCACTTTTATTAATGTAATTTAAATGTTTTGTGTGAATCTGAAGGGCCGACCAGATGTTCGCATGGCCTACATTCAGTTTGTCCTTTCTTTCATGATGTGTGGTGACAGCTCGCTTGTAGGACACATACTGGACACCAAAGGTATTATTATTATTAATTGGAGATCATTTACAGTGTTTTGTAAAAATCCCTCCAGACTAAATGGATCCAACCATTTTTGCTTTTTTTTTTGCTTAGATTTCTTTTCAGAAATCCTAAACACAGGATTGAAAGAAGACCGAATCTCAATAGTCAGCCTGATTCTTTCCACCTTACAAACAAAAGTATGCTTTTTTACCAATTGGAGCTGTCTACTAAATGCAATGCATGCTTTATCTTTTCAACCTAACTTTTCTGTTGGTCTGCAGGTTGTGCACAATACAGCTATCAGTAAGTCACAGAAAGTGCGTTTCTTCAGTGCTTCTACTCTGGCTCAGATAGCTTCTCTTTATAGATGGAATGGGATTCTGGATACCACCACCTTTCATAGTCAGGTAAAGTTTAAATCTTTAACAGTCATATGCTTTTGTATGCTCTCTCTCAATGTCTATAACGAACATCCTTGTTGTTCTGTTTGTTAGGAGGTGAATGAACAGGAGGGAGGCAGACTCCTTGCGCGAGACTTGGTTCATAACTTCCTTCTTGACGTTTGCTGCTCTCATAAATATGGTATAAGCTTCCATGACCCAAGTCTGGGGACAGCCATGAGGTGAGTGGGACCACAAACAATCATTGCTGAGGTGCATAGCTCTTGTACTGTGTGGTCGTAAACTTGAATGTATTGCATATTCATGACAAATTCTTGATTGTTTGTGGTTCATTGTAAATTCATTAACAATCAGTTCTTAGCTTTAGGTGTGGTGCTGGGTAGACATAGCATTGTACTATCCTTATTTTACGTGTACAAGCCTGAAAAGGACACTGATATGGAACACAGTCTCGGCCTGTGCATTTGATTATATGGCTGTCCGAACTTATCTTGACATTCAAAGTAAAAGGCCTGAAACCGTAGTAAGTAGGTTCATTCAGAAATATTTTAAGTTAGGTTAAGTTGAAGTAATTAATGAAGAATATGTCACATGAATGTGTTACAAGTTGAAATTTTTTTTCAAAGTTTTTAAGCTACCTATGTGGTATTAAACCGTTTGTTGGAAAGTGAATGTACATCATCGTTAGTTTGGTTCTAGCACAACATTGCAAATCCCATAGAGGCACCCACAGAGATTAGCATTATTGTATCAGCTGTACTTGGACAAACAAAGACTACTTACATAATGAAAACTTTAAAGTTAAATATTGCTGTCATATGAAGTGTGATTTGCACATGTTCATGATTATAAGACCAAAAAATTAAGCTTACTAAAATATGTCATGCTTAATTTAATGTTGGAATGCTTGTGTAGGCTGTGGAGATGCCCACAGGCTGTCCAGCTCAGAGTACAATGTTCTTTAAAGACAGTAGTGCATTTTACTTCAACCCAAGAGAGAAGTTTGGACCCTTTGGTTTCAGTGTTTGGAATTTAGGGTAGAGTGAACCTGCTCCTTCTTACAGCCCAAAACTCAGCATTTGCAAATCTACTGTCAAGTAGGAGAAAGTGGGACACAACCTAACCATTTTTTAAATATTTTTGCAACATTATGTTTGTATGCCATCAAACTAACACATGCTTCAGATGAAAATGTAAGCTTTGTTTCAAGCACCTACCATTTGTTAACGATCCATTTGAAAAGGGCGGGGGCCGAATGATTAGGAATTCTGCATCTGTTGTCTAAAATGGCTGCTTGCAGTGTTCAGCTGCATTGTGAAGTTTTGTTCATTTTTGTAATTCATGATCATACTTTACTGTAAACAACATTGCCATTCTGTGTGACTTTCATGAAGGCCTGAATGTCGTTTGAGCACCTTGAGAGGTTTTAAGGATGTATTTAGGTGCTTGTTAACTTTTAGTGCTCATTAGCAGTGTTAGCCTTGTAGCTCCAGTGCTGAGCTAAAGAAGCAAACATGTTTTGATTGATGGACTACATCTGTAGTGAGTGGAAATTATGTAAATTAGAACCATTCCTTTAATTGTAACAGACTAAAGGGCTATTTTTAGCAGTTAAACTCGTGCAGACATATTCAGTGTAATTACATGCTGTTTGAATCAATTGAGCTTTGCAGTTTAAATGTGCAAAAATATATGCATCAAAATAATTTGATTAGTGAGTAAATCTGTTGTTGAATGGATTGGTAAAATAAAGCCATGCCAAACACTGACAAATTTATGTCGATTCTTGGATGCATCGCGATGCAGAACGTGGATGATTCTAAATCGATTCACAATTGTCAAAAATCGATTTTCTAAATTTTACTTGGTAATGTGATTTGACGGATCGCAAAAGGCAGAACTTGGAAGTGCAGCGTCCAGACAGTCTGTAGCATGCACATAACAAAAACACAAATGGATGAGTGAGAAATCCGACCGGCACCCTCTGCATTAAAAGCTAGGAGAGGTCAGGAGTCAACAACCCAAATGTTAAGAAAAGCCATTTTGTCCCTTCAAAAAAAATCAAACCACCTTGGGAGCCACAATATTGAATGTCCAATATGTCTCAGTATGTGCTTATGTACTAGTGTAGGCTAAAAGATATAAACAAAAGTGTAGACTTACTTTGCTCTGCTTTAAGCTTTAGCTATAGCCGCTTTCCTCCCATCTCCGACAGGAAAACTTTTCCTTAAACGTAGAATAGTTTCTAGTAAGATGTCTCTCAACGTTCGGCTGTTTCACAAGGCTGAAGTCAGCTTCTTATTTGCCAGCTTTTAGTTCTCATTTTCCCATTCCACCTTGAATACTGCCTGAGGTGCCGGAATGTAAACGTACACGTTTCCACACATATGTACTTGCGGCCAACCAGATGACCATCGAACAAGTGATGTCAAAGCTTCTGCCCAATTTGGAAGCGAATTACAAAATCTTTTGCAACTTCTATTGCCAAGAATTTGCGTCCGTTCTCAGTCATTGAGAACCAGGGCTTTCGCGCTGTGTTGCCCACTTGGACCCGAGATACAGTGTCCCGTCTCAAAGATATTCTACTGACACAGCAATCCCCACTCTCTACAATGAGACCAAAACTGAAGTTATGGAATCACTGAAGAAAACGAGTAGGATAGCTGTAATATGTTTTGCGTGGACATCCATTGCCACAGAATCTTATTTCAATGTAACTGCACATTTTATCACAGGTGAGTGGCAGCCTGCATCTCATGTGCTCCAAACAAGAGCAGTGAATGAGAGCCTTCCAGTTCACTTGCCACATCGCTTCCATTTGTTTTGTTAATAAGATATTGGAAGTAAAATTCATTATGGATCATTACAAGTACTTTGCTTTAAAAGTACCAAGTTGTCACACAGTGAAAAAAAAAAGATGCTTCAAGATAATCGTTTTATAATCGCATCGCAGCCCTCTGAATCATAATCAAATCGTGAGGTGCCTAGAGATTCCCACCTCTAGTCAAGACTGAGACCTGGATGCGTTGAGTCCAAGTCAAGACCAAGACTTTTTAGTAGTTTAGTCTAAATCAAGACCGACGCTTGGAGTGGTTGAGACCGAGACAAGACAGAGAGCAGATGAAGATTTTTTCAGAATATAAAAATTAAAAGAAAGGGGAGAACTTTAATTAGTTTGTGGTTCATTGTAAATTCATTTGTTCATTCATCCAAATACTCAGTATACATTGCATGTGTTAGTAAGAAAAATCAGTTTTATAATATATTTTTTAGAATGTAACATTAAGTAATATATAGCCCAATATATGCTAAAATATGCATTTTATTGCAATATATGTAATATTGCATTGTAAGTGAATTAAGCAAATGATAGTGAGGTTATTTTCTGTCCACTCTCCAAAACTTTTTCAGAATCACCATCTTAAGTCAACTGAATATAAACCAAACAACAAACATCCATATTTATTGAATTAAAACATTCCGATCTGCCATCATGGAAAGGTTCAGTTAGATCTTTATTAAAACATGTACAGCATGGTTCTCTAATTAAAATAACCTGTGGGCCAATAGCCAGGTGGTCTTCTCCAAGAGAGGAGGTAGTAAAAAAAGTAGAGAAAAAGTGTCTCATTTTCCATGTATAAATTTTAACTACATAATTATTTATAATTTATTTATAACAAAAATATTTCCACCTTACACTGAGACCAAGACAGAGTCAATATGATGTCGAGACCAAGACAAAACTGAAACCAGACTCAAATACTACAACACTTGTTATCTAAATGTCTGGTACAAGCTCCAAATCACGATGGCTTGGCTAGAGTTGCCTATAAAATATTGTAGTGTATTCTTACTTACTTGCACACTTTAAATTCTTGTACATCCCAATTTAATATGACATAGAAATTGTAACTCTTCCTCAAAAAACAACGTACAAAAAAGAAAAACAGTTGTTTACTTGCATCATACAAATATCGGTCACAATCACATCAAAGGAAATAGGTATTTAAAAACAAAGCTCAGATGCTTCATAATAATTCAGGAGTTATTTCGTTATTTCATTGTGGTGGTTAAAACACTCAAGGGGGCGATAAAGGACAAAACAGAGTGCGATCTACCATTATTTCCACAGCCACTACAGCTAAATCTGGACAGTCAAGGAGAATGAGCTACTTTACCTGTTCTATATTGATGGTTATATAAGTGAACTATTTTCATATGAAACTCAACTGCTTGCCTGCTATGTCAGAGATATGCGATATACTTTCTATGCGATATAAATTTCTGCACCATTCTTTCTTAAGAATCTGTTATGTTCTAACATTCTCTCACATACACTGAGAGAATGTGCCCCTATGTGACTGACATGTAGTGCATTCAATTTGTCTTGAACAAATCTGTTAATTTATGGCAAACTCTCAGAAGTGATAAATAACCTGAAATGGCTCTTTGTAAACTGATTAAAACTAAGATTAAGGCGTATATGAGTCAGAATATCTTTCCATTTAGAAATCACTATGTTAAATTCCTTTTCCCATACTGGCAGTAGTATTCAGTGGATTTGTCATGTTTAATTTAATACACAGAAATTAAATGTTTGCTAGTAAGGCTGGAGCTTATCAGTTTCTCTTTTGTGTTTCAACTGTGGCCTCATGTTAAAACTGAATTGATGTTACTCCTATTTAGGAGCTAAAAATATTGTTGAGGGATACCAAATTCTTGCGTAATTTCATCAAAGGAGTTTGAGATGATCGAGAGGTTCGAGAGGTCACAGCAGAGGGATCACCGGATGGGTCATTGGATCTTTAAGATTAATTTTTACTTTAGTCCAGAGCACTGTATAATAATTTCAATCAAAAAGACATGTTTTTCAGACTTGAGCCTTTAAAGGGGAATTCCACTGATTTGTCAAAATATCTGCATAATTCAGTCGTTAAAATGTGAACAAAGTCATTCAGAATGGTTTGTTGTGAGTTGCTCCGTTCTAGAGAAAATTAAAGTAAGAATTGTTCATGGTGGGTGATAGACACCAGACATCTGAAGAGTTTAATCCCTCTAAAAGCTCCCTTGCAGTTTTTCTGCATGAAAACATTACGAACAAGTTGCCTGATGTCTGAGTTGTTGTTGGACGATAGTTTTTAAAAAAAAATGTTGGCCTAAAATTTAACATCAGAGAGGTACATACAGAACATCAAAACACAAAATCCCTCCTCCCCCCATATACCATTACTGTTTTTGGATAGCAAACAAAATGGATGTATTTGTGTTATAGACATTGTGAACCCTGGTTCCTATCACCACTGTAAAGAAATCAGAGTTGGTAAATTTCTCTACAGTGAAGTATTTTCGAATCTGCTTCTCAGGAATTGAATTATACAGAACTTTTGAAATGTTATCTGTTTTTTAACTTAACTGAAGTGAATCATATTAGATTAGACCTGATTTAAAATTGTATCAGACATGAAGTGAACTGTATTGGGTCATTAGTGAAATTAAGTATGAAGAATTGTTTTTGGTTTAACTGTATTTTTTGTGTTTTCTGTTTTTAACTAAAGGATGCAGCCTTGCTGAGTCAGGAGGAAAAAGAAAACGCTAAAATATGGTAGTGTTGTGCTGCTGTGAGTCACTCTGTCAGGCCTTGAAGTTATTGGCTGCTGAACAGAAATATTTGGTGGGCCCCTACATGGCTACCTTTTTTGGGCAGATGGTTATAAGGGCTCCACATTTAACATACTTAGCGCAGCACTGGGCACATCACCACTATAAGTGCATAATGCTCAGTGGACAAAATATTAGTCTCATGCATCGTTTGTTCTCTAATAGTTGGTAAGAATTACACCAGTCTTTTAAGCTCGTCCCTTTTTTGCCAACTCTTCCACTAACTTTGTGTTTCATATTCAAATAGAACACTTTGTGCCTAATGTCTTAGCGGAATACAACATTCAACATTCATAACATTTCACACACAAATTATGACTGAAATGTGCACATAGTTTTTGGAAGAATTATTTAGAATGGACAGGAAGAGACAGGTGTAACTTACAGGATTGATGCTGTTATTAAGCTAAGAGGACGTGTAACCAAGTATTAGAAAATAAACGTTGCATGCACCCTTATTTTCTTTCTGAAGAATTTATTTTTGAAAGTGACTCACCACAATTTTATTGCATTGTCATTAAAAACTAAACTCTGGCTGTGAGTAAAGACACTTTTTTGCTACACACTGAGCTGTAGCAAAGAAGTCTGTAACTGACACAGTGTCACTTGCACTTTGTCAAACCGCTTATTTCACTAAATGCATTTTAATCATTATCATTATTTTGAAAATGTGAGTGGTGGAGCAACTGTCCAGTCGTACACCATAAAGAGCCAGTTTGACCTTAGGTGACCTTTCACATTTGTGAGCAAACTGTAACACTTATTCACATTCCAGTAGCACTTATCACATTTCATTCTCCACACACTCACCCAACCAGAGGGAAAAGCTGAGCTCTCTGTCCCAGCTAGGCATGTCCCGTTATACCGTACATAGGGTATACTGCAATATTAAAGACATAAGATAACATTATTTTAAGTATTGCACCAGTAGTGTATCCATATCAGCACTGATGCTGGCAAGTAAAGGCAGTAGCGGTATCGACAATGGGGATACTGATACCTATGGCTGACACCCTGAAGCAGTTCCTGATGTGCGCATGTGCTGATGTGTGCGTTTGCGCCAGTAGACAGAACTTAACAGCATGGCAACGGTGTGGGATAATAAGAAGCAGTGAAAATGCTTATGGCTCAAATCTGTAACAGCAGCATTTTGTGGCAAGAAGCACGTTAATGGGAGCCCCTTACCTGAATGGCTGAGCCAGGCTCTTTCAGTAATCACTGATTTGCCGCTGTGTATTCACTTACGGTCTGGGTCAATGTTAGTCTAGGTTGTTACTGAAGGAGCAGAAGGAACAGCCGGACATAGTCATTAGCGAGGTCTTATGGCCCATTGCTTCAACCAAGCTGGAAAAAAACGCTGAAAGTTGCTGCTGGCATATATTTAAGGATAAGGTATCATTATTAGAAGGGAAAAAGTGCTATCGGTCCAGTTATTGTGGACGCTTCAAAATACTGTCACTGCATTTAAAAAAGCTGCCTATTTCACGCATAGACCAGGGACACACGGCAGCCGTTCTCTAACAAGATTGTAGCCACAAGTATTTACACTTGGTAGTTAAATGCATCTCCAGTCTACGCTAATCTGCCTGTTATACAGTAAACAATCACCAATTGTTTATCTTTTAGCCTTTTCCTGTGTCGTGCTAAAGAAGGTTGCTGTGTTTGTCCATATTGCTATTAAGTGTTTCGTTTCATCCAGTCCCCAATCATGTGCGTCCTCCATGCTTATCTTTCTAGCAGGCACAGATCACATGCCCAGTGACGTATTACATGGAGAGGTGTTTTGGTCGTATTAGGAGGGGTTTTAGTTGTTGAATGTGTCTTTGAGAGATGGATTTGTTTAACATTTGCTGTAACGTGGCTCAAATGGGTCTCAGACCACCTCCTGAAGTGGTTTGAGCGATTGGATTTGTATCTGTTTTAAATGCATCCTGGGTGCATTTGCATTTTTATGTGGCCTTACCCAGATATAATCCTGATACTCAAGACGCAAAAAATGACCAGGTGTATGTGTAAGTCTATGAGAATGTCTTGTACTTCTCACAAAATGGGCAAACTGTGACAGTGTGCAGGATGTGTTCCACTTTTCAACAGCAGAATTGACCATTACTAGTGAGTGACTTTTTGTTGCAGGCCAGAACAGAGGGCCAATTAAATAATGACATTTGATTTTCATGTGCAAGATACCTTCAGTTATAAATGTGCTCAAATAAATTTAGTCGTCCAAATAAATCTCACGAATAAATTGCAATTGGTGTGTAACAATCTTTAGCTAGCACATCAGCTAACAGATGTTCAGAGGAGGGACTGTGCTAAAACCATAGGTGGCTGATTCTTGTTCTGAGTTTAGTTGGTGAAGATTCAGAGCTTATTTACTTCTAACTCATAAGACATACTTTTTACTAGGCCATGTTGCATGATTAAGCTAGATGTATAATGTAGCTAGCGTTACTGTTCATTGTCCAGAAGCCTCTGAAAAAAAAAAAAACATAAATGCACTGTAATTATTATTTCTTCCTAAGCATACTGTGTTTTTTTGGACAATATTGTGATATCATACACCAAAATTAAAAGCAAGGTAATATTGTGATACTAAATTTTTTCGGCACATGCCTAGTCCCAGCCCTGCTGTGAACTGCTTTGTAGAATGATGTCAGCAGTGTTACACAGGCATTATACAGCTTGATTTCTGCCTAGAGCTGTGCAGTGAGTTGTGTTTTTATCATGATATGAGTTTTTGCCAGTGCACACACAGGTACATTATAGCAGAATGGAACTAAATTGGAAATAATAGCACCACTCAAATTACGTTTCTGCACACAGAATCAGAGAGAACTCTTTTATACTGTAAACTTGTACACAGGTAATGTAATTAGAGTTAAACCACAGAGAGCCAAAGCAAAAGCATGAGAAAACTTCTCAGCTTCCTGGCTTATTGCTCAGAAATAAAAATTATGAAATGACTAGGACTACCAACCTATAAAAATGCAGAGACAGACAATGTTAATTTTTTTGAGCATTTCATACAGTTCTAATTGCAGTACTCATGATCCTTAAAGTCACAATGATGTCCTATATTTTCAGAGCTGGAAACATTGTTCTACTGCAGTTTGTGGTGACCCTTAGGCAGGCTGCAGAGGATGACCTGGTGGCTGAGCTGCTTGTCAGTATTCTGAAATGTAACCCTGATATTCTGCCCCGGTACTTCAAAGAAACACAATTCTCCTTCACACCACGCATGAAAGGAGCCTGGCTAGACAGTATTGCACTGCTGAAGAAGGTGAGTTATGCATTAGCTAGGTATGGGACTTGTACTCTTTTTCTCATTAAATTTTCTTTCTTCCGTTGTCTTTCATTTCTCTCTCTCTCTCTCTCTCTCATAGATTTATCATGCCCAGCCGGAAGTGTCCCGGGCGTTCCAGTTGCAAGAGATGGTTCCTGTTCCCCGTTTGCTCAACATGGTTCTAGTCACTTCCTTGCCTCCAGTTTGCAACAAGACCTTCTTCACTCAAGGCCTCAAAGTAAAACAGCAGCAACATTTTAGGATTGTGAATTAGAATTAGTATTAGAGTCAAGGTTTAATCCAGCACAATATTTAGTCTCGATTTTCAGAGATGTTGCTCGGGCATGTTTTAATTCCAAACATATTTATTTTATATATATATTTATTTATATTTATTTTGCAAATTGAGTAACCACAAGACAAGATGTCTTGAGGCAAAATTAACTGGCTTTTATATTCAGATATGGGGTATGCATCCAATCGCACTGCCTTCCTGAAATTCATTGAGGCATAGCTACTGAATGCAGATGTCATTGCAAACTCATGACTAGAGATGAAACGATATTAAAATTTCATATCACGATTATCATGACCAGAATTATCACGATTATCGATATTATCGCGATATTGTTCAAAAGCGTTGAAAAGTAAATTAAATAAATAAATAAATACTGATACACAAACTGAAATTTGTTTCACCATTACTATTATTATTATTATTACTGTTGTAAATTATTATTATTATTATTATTATTATTGTTATTAGTTGCAATAATTAGGGATTTCCCTGCATAGAGAATTAAATCTCCACCAACTCTGAGGTGGGTCTTAATGTAAAATTATTACTTCTAAGAAGTGTTGCACTCGGGGGATTTCTGTCCTAACTGCAACTGCAGCATTATTGTGCCGTTGTGGCGCTGTACCCCTAATCAACACAGTGCACCAGGAAAAACAGCCAAAATCACAGAGGAATTGCATGACCGTGCTGTGAGCTGCAGACAGTGTAGCACTCACACAGTGTGTCTCCACCTGTTGAGCTGCTTCTCTAAAAGCATTTTAAAACTAAAACATAACTTAAAATTAACATGCATCTGAGCTGTGGCAGAAACATTCCTAAAGTTTAATCTCTGAAACTCTGCTTTTCCCAAAAGCGGCACACAGCGTTTACTCGCGCAAGGTCCTGTCTCAAAGCACACTATCTTCCCTGTGTAGTGCACTTCGTAGATCATGAAATAGCAAATCCTTTACCCAAAGAGTGCGTGAAATGTTCGACTAAGTCATCTATAATCAACATTAACAACAGGTTACAAATTCCCTATTTAAAACTCAACTGCTTGTTAATGATGATCGTGTTTGTTTGAAAAGTAGCGCACTATGTAGGGGACACGGTGATTTGAGACGGTGTTATTCTCTTCTCAGAAAGTAAACACTGCCCCCCCCCCTTCACCTCTACACACGCGCACACACACACACACAGAGCTGCGTCTGAGAGATGATTCTGCCTTTGTTTGACTCTGTAAAGCGAGTTTTTCACACCGCGGTAATTTTAACGATACTTTAAAGTTTAAACGGTACTACTAACCGTCATTAATTTTACCGCGGTTTACCGTGAAACCGGTTACCGTTTCATCTCTACTCATGACTGGTGCGACTTGTCAAAGCTAGGGTTAAGTTTAATGCAGTTCTAATACAATAGGTCTAATGTGGTATTTGTGCCAGTTGTAATCGTATATGATAATGATCTAATTAATCTATGGTTTAAGCTTATTTTGCTGGACTTGAAATTGTTTCTGTTAAGTAGAGATCATCTTAAGTTCATGATGCCAGATTTGTGGTAGCTGATACCATTGAAATTGCATGTTTCTCGATGCATGATTGGGTAATGCAGCAGAAACAGAAATCTCTCTCAGCAGACTCTCCTTCCTGGAAAAAAAAAGACTTTGTGTGAACATTTTCAATAGAAAAACAAATTCAAGTACTTATTAGTTATATTACTATTATTATTATTGTTATTATTATTGTTGTTAATGTTATTTAAGTAATCGACATTAAGTAATACGATTTTTAAGGATACTACTAGGCTTGCACACTGCTAGATACAGGAAAAGGCAGAATGCATAGACACACACAAACACCACTCTATATTCACCGAGGCCTCATCTATGTATGTCCGAATATTTTTAAAAACTTTGTTTTTTCTTGTTATTTCTTCACTTACACCAGCATTGCTTTCGAAAGTCTCTAAGTCTCTATGTCCTCATAAATGCAAAAACAGCTCGAAAACACTTGCATGAGCATGCCAGGACAGTAGATGTTGTTCATACACTACAAAAAGAACATTGTGCGCATGTCCACTGTGCAGTATATATAGCGCAAAAGAACACCAAACAACCGTCGGTTTGTTTATATTGCCACGGCCACACTACTGTCTCTGAAATGTCCAAACAGTCCTGTTTTTTAGAATGATGGAATTGGAATTTAATTCAAATCTCACTTTGGTTAATGATCGTCAAGTCATATTTTTTTTTAATCAATGAGGTATTTTTAATATTTGCAGTCGTGGTGATACTCTATTTATAAGATCTGGGCGCAGAACATTACATTCTCTCTGTCTCTGCACTGTGGTTTAATAACAACGTAAATCCAAATTCAATTATAAACATGATTTTAACTCCCAAATCTCCCCGACATTGCTGAACACACCAAGCCGTCAGTCATATTTCGGAGAGAGTTTTCAAAAAGTTGTGTTTTGCCCATCCTTACAAAAACACTGAAAATGGAGTTTTCATGAATCTCCACCCTGAAGAACGTTTTCAAAAATCTATGTTTTGTGTAGATATAAGGCCAAAACATGCAAAAAAACATTCCAAAAATATCCAGATACAAATGGACAGGGCCAGAGTGCAAGAAGTAATCAAGATTTACTAACATGGAGACTGAATTTAAGGTGGCCTGTTTCTCCTCCTAAATTTGACAAGTTATCTCCTTTACTGTCATTATTTGCATGTTTCGGTTGTGGAAGCAGCCTGACTAATTTGAAATGAATTTTCTTGTTGAACAGTTGCCCAATGTGGTGGGACAGCATGCTACCCTGTCTGTGCTGGTGTTTATCCTGAGGAGAGCTCAGAAGAATATTGAGCACAGTCTGAAGAGACCAGCGTGGGACGGTTTAGACACGTACAGCCCCACTTCCATGGAGGAGTTTGTTCAGCTTTACAGAGAAGCATTGAGTAAAGTAAGAGAATTATTTTTACATGCAAAGAAACAGGAACATGTGTACACCCAGACCTGATGTCTGTTTTAGAGGAAAAACATTCTAAAGGGAAGAATAGAGTGGTAATGTCTTAATGCTACATTCTGTTATTGCCACAGATTTTACCAGATGTCATATCCATTGTGTCAATGTGGCAATCACTGTCAAAGAAGGAGAAAGAGGAGGGTGAGGAAAGCACTGGTGCAGCTGGATCAAAAGCACAGGATGAGGTTAAAACTGAAGAATATGGTAACAGCACTATGCACTTCTATGTACTACTTTCAGTGGGTTTAACTGTATTCATGCTGTGAAAATAGTATCTTGCATGTGCAGCAGGTGAGCAAGATCCAACACTGATCCAGTTCAAGGCTCTGCTGCTGCAGGTGTTGCGTTTGTATCATAAGGTTGTACCACACTTCATCAGCCAGAGCAAATTTGACTTCAGCAAACTGCTACAAGGTGAAGCTTTTCTCTGAGTCTCTATGTTAATTCTACCATAGAAACAGTGTCTTTTCATTCCCTACCTGCTTTATTAACCTTGTAATCAAGCCGAGTATTAAGGTGCAAATCAGTCTTATTGACTCTTTGCAGGCATTGTGTCAGAGAAGGAAATGAGGAATGAGGTCCCTCCTGTTCTGCAGTACCAGATCCTGCAGCTTGCTCTGGAGCTCCCTGCAAGCAAGTTCTCCTGGTTCCGTCTCCAGGTCTGTTGGCCAGCAGTGAAATGTGTAGTAACAGGGTGCAGTGTGTGGTTCTGCTTTATTTTTTATCACTGCTGTGATCAGCAGAGTTTATTTTGCCACCTATGTTTAGTCTTACTGAAGATAAATCAGTAATTTTTACTAAAATCAAATGATCAGAGTTTGTCATATCTTATATGTGCTCACTGCCACTTCAGAAAGTAAACCTACTTTATACCTGTAACCATGGGTGACATTTGTGGCGTATGTCAGGGAGTGCAAGCGATCTCAGCTGTATAAAACCTAATTTTAGCAAATAACCTATATTTATCAAAATATAAATTATGTCCTACCTTAGTGAAGTACAAGACTTCCAGGCACAGCATCAAATGCACTGATTGTTTTTTCCAAGTTCATGCAAATGGACCATTCAGTATTCAGCACTGCAGTGTCAAACAGTCTCTTTTGACTCATAGTGTTTCTCATGTAAGTTGTCAGTTGATGCAAGCAAGAAAAATTCCTTTTGCATGATGCACTGCTAATTGACACGGTCAAAGCAGATTTCTTCTGATGGCATAGCATTGAACCGGGACAGCTCTGAACTCATTGCCTCTTTGGGAAATCCATAACGACGATAAACAAATGCCAGGTTGGTTTCAATGAAACTTCTAGAGCTGAGAATGCTGTTCAGTGCGATTAGGCTTTCCATGTCATTTCCCTGAAACAGATCAAGGATGGACACATGGGTCTTGGTAGTTGTTTTGAGTGCACAAGTCAACCATGTGCTTCCAGAGTTTTGAAAGTCGCTGTCTGCTAGCAGAGTAGAGACTGCTAGCTAGGCCCTTGAACATGGCGTAATTTAAACTTGATGTCTGCAGTACTCCTTTGCTCCCCCCAAATGTTGCCCATGCCTGTAACACTTAAGTTGCTAGTGTAAGTTGTTAGTTCATTTTTTCCACCACTGTTGTCAATGTATTGGCAAGCCAGTCGTTATTGACTTCTGTAGAGGCTCCCCACTTGCTGTCCTGTCACAGATACATTATACAGTATTTTTTATCATTTTTGGGGGGTTTAATGCATCTTGTTCCTAGCATCACCTCTCATAGTTTTTGCTTTTATAAGCCAGTGCTGCTGTTTCTTTGCAAGATCACAAAGCAGCCATTCTTCTGAGTAGTGAGAAGTTTCTGGCTGTGTATATATGGTAAGCTGTGAGGTTCATTAAACAATAAAATGCAAAATACTGAGCAGTCTGGGGTAGTTTTGTTTTCACAATGCATCAATCAAAGGGACCACAAAACAAACCACAGACAAACCATGCTGAACCACCTCTGGAGTTCTTTTGTAAATTTGGTTAGAAAGGCCTAAATTCGTTTGACGTGCATGAAAAGTGGTCTTAAACCACTTGAAAGAGTAAAAAGAGCCACGTGTGAAAATATGTTGCATTACATGCTTCTTGCATCTTCTTTGTAAATGGTTGTATACACTAATTCTAAGTTTGATAATGTATGCTTTCATATATGTATAAAATATATTCAGGTAATACATATTCTTTGTCAGAACAAGAGACAATCTTGGTCATCAGATTTTGCCATATTTATATCTACAACATGCTATATATTTTATTAATTTTTATTTATTTAATCTTTGTATTATTATTTTTTTATTTTCTAATTGGTTTATGTTGGTCTTCCTTTGTGTTGACTCTCAGACTAAATGCTCCTTTTTGTTTTTTTTCTATTCACTGACTCCACTCTGATTACTTGTTTCAAACTGTTTCTCATTACATAAAGGGTGTAGTCAATCCAGAGCCAGCACGAGGGGAAGGTTCTGTTTTCTATCAGTTATTGAAGATGTTTATCAGCAGTAGCAGCAGCCAACTGAGGACCTCAACCAGAAAGCTTGTTCTTAAGGTGAGCATAAGGGGAGCTGAGGTTAAGGTTGGAAATAGCTGATGTTGTGTAACTACCTTAATGGCAATTTTGTAACTCTGTGCATTACTATAGCGATATGTGATGTGTAAGAGTAAAGGTTATTTAGTATGTGGAGTGTTTTTGTTTGTATGCTCGTTTGTATGAGTGTGTAAGCTTGTTTACTGTAGCAAGTTTTGCTGTTCTGTTGTCAGGTGCTGAGAGACAGTGGTGTGTTTGAGCATACCTGGAGAGAGCTGGAACTATGGGTAGATCACTTGCTCCCTTTGGAGCCATCACAACAGGAAGAAGCCATCCAGTTTTTAGACCAGGTGCCCCAATAAACTTCTGCATTACTTTCAATAACCACACTGTACCTCTCTCACTCGCCCTACATCAAACATGTTCATAAGAATGATTTTGTGTGTATTTTGTGTGCAGGTTTTGATGAAGGTTGTATGTAACCCATATGAGTATGTGGATAAAGTTGCTGCTATGGTGCAGGAGGCTGTGTGTCTGCAGGCTGAAATGAGTGGGCAGAACAGAGGGACAGGCACCTTGCCTATATCTCACATCAACGGTGAGCCATCTTACACATTTGCACATAATATAGGTCAGATCTAGTTTCAGAATGCTTTTTGGTGTTCTAGTTTTGCATTACAATAAATACTTGTTCTTGGTTTCTTGTATGATTGTTGGCATGATTTTAATAATCCTCAGGATATTAGACAGCATCAGTCTTCAGCATACATGAAGTTCAGAAGTCTTGACTCTTGCTGCTGTCTTAAAGATAAATTAGGTGCGTTTGCTATCATGGATGACAGGGGAAATGGCACTGAGAAGACTGGGTCATCCCTCACTGATGATGTACTCCAGACATTTCCTTTCAGTGCCATTGTACCAGCTGTGCTGGAGGCACGGAACAAACTGCTAGTGAACTTCAGAGATGAGAAAGGTAGTGCTCTGGACTATTTGTATTTTTTATCTTTCATCTTTTTAAAAATATTATTATACATTGTTACAGTAAAAAAATGAAAAATGAATCATCAGTCTTTCTATCCAAGCATGTCTGCTATAGTTACCAGAACATGCATGCTCTTGTAGTGTACACTACTTTTCTTTAATACAACCCAATTTTAAAGTGGGACGATATGCGAAATGCTAATAAGAACAGAAAACAGTGATTAGTACATTATAATCATTGTATTAAACTGAAAATAACAACACGATATTTGATGTTTTATCTTTTTTTTTTGTAAATATATTCTTGTTCCAAAAAAGTATGCCTGCAACATTTTCCAAAAAGGTGGGACCGGATAATCTAGTTTTGAAGGTTTTGGCTGTTCTTCAGTTGTACAAGTGTTAAAGCTGCTCAACCATACTGTCCCTTCTTTGTTGTATTTTGCATTTCATAATGCACCAAATGTTTTCAGTTGATAGTATTTTAACGACGTCACATGAAGTAACATGCCATGGATTGGAATTTTATGATCTCTGTAGAAATTCATGCTATACTGATCCAGTCCACCAGTGTAGGTGCTCTTCTTGTAGCATTTTCTGGAGACTACATCTAAAGTGTCCACATATCTTTTCATGTTTTTTTTGTGCTCATTCTGATCTGTTTTGCTTTTGGTCTTCAGCCACCTGCAGGGTTGTAGCATCAGTAATGGTGATGAGACAGGCTCTAATAGAGCACGGTTAGAATTACAGCTTGCCTACCAACATGGCGATGTGGTCTACTTAATGATGCAGTCGAATACTATGACTAGGTGACCGGTCTGTGCAGGAGTGCTAGTCTAGCACCTTCTCTCCCTAATTACACAGCCATGCTGTCATAACACATGCAGAATGTTTCTTAGTAGTATGTTAAAATATGCATGAATGTCCTTAAAAAGTGTCTCAAAGGCAGCATATGTTGGTCCAAAAATCTTTCAGCGTTAGTGTTGCCTTTACTGTTGCCTTTACTGATGTGCAAGTTACCTATGCCATGGCTTTTGAACTTTGAGTTGTTAACAGTCTGGATGGTCCTTTACTTCTTTGGTCTGGAGAACACAATGTCCATTATTTCCATAAACATTCATCAGACCACAATGCATGTTTCCACTGTTCATCATTCTGTTTCAGCTGAGCTCAAGCCCAGAGAAGTTGGTGACATTTCTGGGTGTTGTTGACATTTAGTGTTTTTTGGCACAAGATTGTATTATTGTATAAGTATTCCCGAGCCCCTGTGGTGATATCCACCACAGAAACATGCAAACTTTTAATGCTGTGCAATCTGAAAGATCGAATGTTACAAGCATGCAGTTGTGGTTTTTGGTGTGGCTTTCTACGCACAGAGATTTTTCTGGATTCCCTGAAGTAGTAGGGAGTCCGTCTGAGTATTTGCTGATGCATGATGAGTGGTGAGCCTCGACCATCCTTATTCATAAAGGACAAGCCATTTTTGGATGCATGATTTCATCACATAATTTAAAGAAGTTTTCTGAACTTTTTAAAAGCGTTTCTAGTCTTAATTGCTCCTTTCCCAATTTTTCAAACGTGTTGCCGGTTTCAGTTTCAGAATGGGCATATATTTACAAAAGCAATGAAGTTGCTTAGATAAAACATTACATATCCTTGCACTGCTTTGTTTAATTACAGGTAAATGTGGATTTATAAATCACTGCATTCTGTTTTTATTTGCATTTCACACACTGTCCCAACTTTTGAATTTGGTTTATAGTTTTACTAATTGACACAGTCTAATGGTTCTTTCAAACAACATATGATTAATTAAACATGAATTTTGTTTTTTAATTTAGTATTTTTAATTCTCGTGAGTGCAGATTCTGTGCCCAGCTTTGGGCTTATGTGACATGTTTTTTTAATCAGTTAAGCATTTGTACTTATTATGCTAGTATAAAGTTGTATAGTACCTAAGTTGTGCTGCTGTTTTGCAGCTGTACTGTGTGACTACACGTGTGCAGTGCTGTGCGACGTCCTTCATTGTCAAAGGGATCCACTGACTCTGTGTTTGACTCTCCAACACTATGATAAAGAGCTTCTCTCTGCTGAGAACTCCAGACCACCTCACTCCTGTCTTGCCTCCTTCTGTCTTTACTACTCTCACTGGCTTCCCCAAAAGCCTGAGGAGACATGGGTAAGGTTTACTGGGTAATTTTTTTCTTATATTCTTTTGAACATTTAAAAAGACCAGCCAAGCAGCCATGTATATTGCAGTATATAATACATTAGTTTTAAGGTAACATAATGATCACAGTAGGCCAGATTAATAAAACTCTACAGTGACAGCAAAATGTGTGGCATAGTGTCCTAGGCAAGAGTCAGTTAAAATTGACGTGTAAATGAGGTCATAAATATTCAAGACCCACACCAAGTGAAACTCCAGTTGGCTGTCAAAATGCTTATGATGAAATAAACGAAAACAAAATGAAAAAAATAAAATAAATTCTCAGAAAGAGCTGTTTTAATGAAATAAGTCTTGGCGAATAACAGCAAATAGTTTGGTAAAGATGCTTTTTACTTTTAATCAAGAAACAAAGTTTCTTTATCAGAAAATGCTGTTAATATTAGAAAAAAGTAACATTTGAAAGTCGAATTACAACATTTTAAAATTCAACTCATTGCTGGAATTGTATTTTGGCATGTAAAATTACATTTTTCAATGGTACAGATTCAAGACTTTTTCCAGTTAATAGTAATTTTTTGTTGTATACATGAATTCAAATGTGGTAATTGTTTTCCCACACAGTTAAAAATTAAATTGACATGCTGAAATTCTAATTAAAACTAGCTTTTATATATTTTTTTTACCGTTTTATTTTTCATGACCTCAGGGATTTAGTTTACACATGAAAATTTGTAAAAATGTCATTTTCACATGTGCAAATGGAATTCCTTTGTGAAATGCATTGTAAATTGAAAGACAGGATTAAAAGTAGAAACTGCTTGCAGTAAAATCAGTTCAAACATGTAATCAGACTTTCAGCATGTCAAATTACTTAGCATTTATTTGGATTACAAACTAAACCTACGTTCTGTACACAGGAGGGGGTTTGCAGAACATTTTACACAGAAACAAGAGACCGTTTTAAGTACAGACAGTTGAAAGTGTGAGAGGAATCTGTTAATAATGTGTTCCTCTGTAACACCTAAATTTGCATTTCTTATGGCAAGAGTTACATAATACATAGTCCACCTGCATTTTATTGGGTAGGCCTGTGAAACCTGTGGCTGTGCCCCTAAATAGGCTGCCACATTAACAGAACAGTGCTGTTTCCACATTAAATTAGGGAGAAAAGAAAAGAGAACGCGCATCAGGCATCAGTGTCCTCATAGCTATGAGGTTAAGATTGAATCTGGGGCCATATTACAGAAAAGTCTCAAGTCTGAAACTTATTTTTTCTGCTTAGTCAACAAGACAGTTTCAGTTAAGACTGAATTTAGGACAGACACTATCACAGAACAACAGTTCTTAAGTTCATAATCTTATCCTAACTCCAGATAAGAAAACAGCATTACAGAAATATCTTAACTAGACAAAATTTCCTAAATTGTGTCCTAACTTTAAGACAACCCCAGAGGTGTCTTAACTTCTGTTTTAACCATCTGTTTCTATCATTTTATGCAGTGACAGGCACAAAGTTCACTATAACTAGCATAATGACGCTACATTTATCTACATCGAAAATGGTGCTTTGACTTATGAGGGTTTTTTTTTTAAAACAGCGTTTAAACGCTGCAGACATGATCTTTACCATCCCCTCTTATTACCTTTGTGTGTTATTGTTGATGAAAACTCGTCAGATAACATAGTACAATGATGGTAGTGAATGATGAGGAGACAGAGCTGAGTGTGTTTCTGTTTATTGGAAGGAATGACAGTAACGTGGTCAGCTAAAGCACTTGGGAAACTAAACTGGAGACGCTCTGGCAAACATCGCACTTTAGTTTTGTTTGACCTTTTTTACCCCAGTACCGGTAGCTAGCTGTCTGGCTAACTAACTTGATTGTTTTGGTTACGTGTATGCGTTTCAGCCGTGCATGTATGATCGGTTGCTTGGTAACAGGCATGACAGTTGATTGTCAACTTTGATTAAGTAAGTTAAGATTTCCTGACTTGACGTAAGAGGCTGTAAGATAAGATCAGATTCCTGAATAAAGATAAGATTTGCCTTCTGTAATATGAATTTGGGAAAAATCTTATCTTGACCTGTCAGATCTTAAGACAAAAAGATAGGAAGTTTCTGTAATACAGCCCCTGTCTTCTTGTCTGTTACAGTTGTCACATTGCATTGCTGCTGCCCCACCTGCTGTGGGCTTTCCTGCCTTCCTAAAGACGTGCTACAGTGAAGGACCTGATGCTTTCGTCCGGGACTCATTTAAGCCAGCCCTGGAAAGGTCTATGTCCAGCCTACAGCTGTCCCAGGTCACTGGTGCTGTCACTCAAGTCCTGCTGTACCTCAGATCTTTTGTGGATGCTTTCAGCGTGGTATGCTTCCTTCTCACCTAAATCTTTGCTGTTTCTAGAGTTGGACTAAGTGCCTGTGGCTAAACTAAACCTAGTCTGGAACTGGACTTTGGAATACTTTTTCAACTAAAATGTTACCTGATGATTTACAGGCAGATATTTAATAATACACTCAGCACTAAAATTTTAACAAGTAATGCTTATTTTCAGGTCTATAGCTGCTTTAGACATGGTAATAAAATGTATAAAATGTACCTAAATGTATTACATTTCTGTATATGGACAAAATTCTACCCATTTTTGCCACTAGCCTTGAGTTTAACTAGTGATTTGAGAAAACATATTTAAATATATTGTTAAATATATTGTAGGATGATTTTTGATTCTGTCTTACACAGACCTGCATTTAAAGGACTAAGAGAAAGAAAACTGTCATCTTTAAAGTGGGAGAGCATTACCTGGTAATCCTACCTGAGTATTACCTGGTAGATAGATACAGAGACAGATAGATAGAGATAACAGAGCGAGCTTGGACCACAGAGAGAGCTTGAACCAGAGATCCAGTCTCTCCACATAATTCACTTCTCTCATGGTTCCTTACACACTCTCTGCCTCTCTAACCTCTGACCAAAACTCAGAACTCAGAGTTCCTTCCCCTTTTATCGGTGACCAGACTGTTATTGTTCAAACCCAAGAGCTTGCCAACACGATCTAATCAGAAGCGGGGTATGGGTAGGCAGCACCTGAAGAAGGCATGGTAGAAACCATTTTCATTCTGCAATATAATATTGGGTAATATTAAAAGCCTAATCTTAAGGTCATTCAAGTTGCTTTTAGTAATATGATACTGAATTATAGATTTGTTTTATTTTGGTATAGTTTTCCAGCACTTTCTTTGCTTCAGGTGCGCACATCAAGCAGGTTTTTGTCTGTCAATTTCATCAGCAGCTTTTGTATTTCACAACATTTCATTTTGTTATGGAAAGAGTGGTGGTACATGCTGTCGTTACTGTTTGGTAAATTTTAGTTATTTTTGTTAGTTAATGTTAGTTATTTTTTATGTCTGCTGGTGTAGCTCCCCAAAGGCCAGGCAGCTGAAGTGGTGGGTTGTGTATTAGAGGTGTTAGGCGCTGTGCTCCACAACCTGCGCAGCACAGCAGAGACTCCCCCCAACCAGCCTGAACCTCAGGAACTAGACAAGCTTTCTCTAGAGATGGACTCTACATGTGCCCAGGAAGCCAACAAAGAGCAGGTGGGTAGTTCACATAGCATGTTCATAGACCAAAAACCACATTTTAAAGCTAGCTAATTTTTTTTTTTCCTTGCATTGAAAGAAGTAGCATAGTAATGGGAGGAATAAACACTAAAATATGGCGCCTGTACACTGCTGTGAGTCACCCCATTAAGCCAGAAATAATCATTTAAAAGTTTAAGTAAGCTTTTACATACAAGCAGTATGCACCGATCAGGCATAACATTATGACCACCTCCTTGTTTCTATGCTCATTGTCCATTTTATCAGCTCCACTTACTATATAGGTGCACTTTGTACTTTTACAATTACAGACTGTAGTCCATCTGTTTCTCTGCATACTTTGTTAGCCCCCTTTTACCCTGTTCTTCAGTGGTCAGGACCCCCATGGACCCACACACTAACACACCACTACCACATCAGTCTTACAGCAGTGCTGAGAATGATCCACGACCCAAATAGTACCTGCTCTGTGAGGGTCCACTGACCACTTTGATCTCTGCCCCTCTCCTTTACTTTATGCTTAATTTGTGCTAATTTTCAGGTTCAGTCCAGAGACCTGAATTGGTTAATCTGAATCTGTTTTCTGCTGTTTGGCAGGTTTTGCTTTTTGTGTTCAGTTCAGTGTTTACGCACCCAGTTCTACAGCAGTGGTTTCTGGCAGTGGAGCTAGATGTGGTGCCACACCACTCCTTGGAGGTGGACAGCGTAAGGCAACTGTGTGTCCAACTGACGCAGGGTGTCCTCAACCTACTGCTTTCCTTTGCTGAGACCCTCAAAGCCCTCAACGCCCTGGAACTCATCAGCCCTTACCTCTCAGCCACACAGCAAGCGATGCTCAAAGAGCTGCAACACAGTGGCAGGTATATTCTCATAGCACTCGGTTGTCAAGATGGTTTCTCTTGATTAGCCGTGGGTAATAAATCTGAGTATATAGTAGCAGTAGATTAGAAGAATCATGTATGCATTGTAAGGGTTGCTGGAAGTAGACAGTGAATGTGAGGAAGTGATGTGAGGTAGAGTTGTTCCTCAGAGGAAAGAAGATGGAAGATAAGAAAGCTGTGAGACAGGTTCCCATGGCATCAGACATCTCAGCTGCTGTGTTTGAGCTAGAACTTGTCTGAACCCGATGGGACCCAACTGTTCATGTTGAATCTGGTCGGGTTTGAAAGTTGTTTCTCAGATATTTATCAGGCTTGGACTGGGTTCAAATTGCATGTTCAAATAAGACAGAAATTTGTTGATCCTCAGTCGGGTTTGGCCTCAAAACAGATTAGAGTGGGTCAGACTGGGACAGAATTTTCTCAGGCTACATTTGGTTACAGCCCAAAATTTCAGACCCAATTAAAACTCTAGTTTTCAGGGAGATTCCTGTATGTCACAGCTGCTGTAGCTCAGCTACAGGCTGGTGGAAGTGCCAAACCATGGATGAGAGTCATACTTCTTCAGTTGTATGCATTTGTGTAACAGGAAGAAATAAACAAACAAACAAACAAAAGTGAGTAAAATAGGTCATATTGCTCAAATTTGAGGTCTGTGCAGGACCGTTTTTTTTCTGTCCTGCCTTCGCCCACCTCCTCAAGATTTCATACCGCTTCTGCCCATGCAGTTTCGTCAAAGTGAACTGACATCAAATATCTGTCATAGTCTGTTCACAAATACATTAACCTCAGCTAAAATAACACAGTAGTCATGGTCATCAGGCTGACTTCACCAAAGTAACTTCACCAAACGCCATTTATTGCCAGTAAACACTAAGCACGAGTTAAACCACAGAATGGTTATTTTTTGTGTTTGATCTGTTTTCCTGCCCGCTCCCACGCACAACACTGAAAATTAGCTTTTGGACCAAGAAGAAGAACCTCTGTTTTGCCTGAGTGAGTAGAAGAAAGTTACTCGACATCCAGTCTTTTATGTCTTTAACGCAGTACTTAATCTGTTTAAGTTGTGAGTTTGTTATCTGGTTTGGTCAATATATACAATTGTCATCGGCGTAGCAGTGGAAATTGATGCCGGGTTTAATGACAATGGTACTCAGTGGTAGTATATATAATGTGAATAACAGAAGTCCTAAAACAGCCTTGTGGAACACCATACTTTATTGTTGTAAGAACAGATGATTCACCATTTACATGTACAAACTGATAGTGATCAGACAGGTAAGATCTGAACCAGGAAAGAGCTATTCCTGTTACTCCTACAATTTTTTCTAGACTATCTAGTAATAGATGGAGTGATCTATCATATCGAATGCCACACTAAGATCAAGCAGAACCAGCAAAGACACATTTTCTTTCGTCAGAGAATAGTAAGAGATCATTTACAACTTTCACTAGTGCTGTCTCTATACAATGATGAGGCCTAAATCTAGACTGAAATTTTTCATGGATGTGAATCCTATGCAAATAGGAACTAAGCTGTTGTGCCACAGCTTTTTCCAAAATTTTTGATATAAAGAGAAGATTTGATATAGGTATATAATTTGATAGCTTGCAGGGATCAAGATTAGGTTTCTTAATCAGAGATCTAATTAATAGTTTGAGTTTTTGGTATATAGCCAAGGCCTTGAGGAGGAAACAAATTTAACTAGCTTTGTAAACTAGCTAAGTTTATTGAAGTAAGGTAAACTATTCTAGCCTCTCTACAGTAGTTACAATGTACACCAGATCTGGATTAGCTTTGTAGGGCCGCAGGTTTGTAGAGGTTAACTGTGCGTTTTGATTTTTTTTGCCCGAGTGTTTCAACTTCATTATTGAAGAAATTCATAAAATCATTGCTGCTGTAGGATAATTTTTATTATTTTCAAGAGGAGAGAAGTTGAGTGTGCTGTAGTAAGCGCCTTTATATATTCTATAAGGCTGTCCTTCCAGGTGGACTGGAATACTTCTAGCGTAGTCGGGTGCCATTTTCCCTCTAATCAGCAGACAGTCTGTTTTAAAGCTTAAGTGCGATCATGGTACCATGGGGCAAGCTTTTCCCCTTTTTCAGCAGGTGTCTCAGAGGGTGTCTCACTGAGTGAGACAAAGCTGTTGAATGGGAAAGGAGTGGTGCTCTCATGGGAAACCTTTAGCATTAGCATTAGCTTTAGCTTTGCAACTATGCTACCGAGAGGCCACATATTCTGCTGCTGGAGTCAAGGGCAAGCTAACTTTCCCTGAGGCACCTGAAGATTTTAACAGTCTGAGCCCTGCTGACTAGCCCTGGTCTTTTCTAATTTCCGGTTGCACACCTCTAACTATATAATCTTTTCCATCAAGCACAAAACTAACTTACACTTCTCACAAATGAAGCTAGTAACGCTGCTGTCATTAGTGACCTTTGCTACAAGTCACTTTGTTAAATTTCTGCTAGATCTGCCCTGGTCAATTGTAAGTACTATTATTGTGGAAAGGACGTGCCAAGGAGCAACTGCAGTGTGCTCGTACTTTTTCTGTAAAGCTGCTTTGTGATAACACCTGTTGTAAAGAGCACAATAAACTTTGACTTGACTGATTCCATAATTTTTTCCAGGAGTTGTTGTGCCAACAGTAAAATTTGGTAGAGAAGGGATAATGGTCTAGGGCTGTTTTTCAGGGTTTAGGCTTGCTCACTTACATTTAAGGGTAATGTTAATGCTAAATCATACAGAGACATTTAAGACAATTAAATGCTTCCGACTTTGTGGTAGCAGTTTGGGAAAGGCCTTTTCCTGTTCCAGCATGACTGTGCCCGTGTGTACAAAGCGAGGTCTAAAAGGACATGGTTTGACGAGTTTGGTATGCAAGAACTTCAGTGGCCTGGACAGAGCCCTGACCACACTTGAGTACCCATTGATCTTCAGGATGAATTGAAACATTGATTGCGAGTCTGACCTCATAAGTTCTCTTTTGACTGAATGGGCACAAATTTTGACAAACAAATTCCAGAATCTTATGGAAAACCTTCCCAGAAGAGTGGGGGCTTGTTATGGTGTACAGGTTCAAGTTCAGGTGCCTACACAGAGCACTCACCATGTACTTTTCCACATAAAAATCAGGCTTTCCTGATGCTATTGGTGAGGTTAGTCTTAGCTGCCCTGAACATGGTCCTGCCACCTGATCTGTATTACATGGTTTGGACAAGGGATGTGGGTACTCGATTCCTCAATTAACTGTTCAAATAATGTGTGTATTCTTTGTTCAACCCATATCTATTTTGAAATAAAAATCAGGTAACAGAAAAACTTTTTTCATTTTAGTCCCTGAAAACAGATGCATTTGTTTCATGGAAAATGTGCAGTTAAGTCATGAATTCTCAGCTTTTTTGTTTTCCATTCCCCATTTTCTGTTTTTAACCATAAAATGTGAATTACAATCGAAAAAAAATATAAAAAAGGTCTATGAGATGGACTATTGTAATTAGTTGCAGAGCACTTCCCTAATTTTGACTGGACTCTTAGTTTCAGTGAAGGGAAACATTAATTCCCTGGCATACAGTGACATTCTAATAACTGCGTACAATTTTGTGGTAACAGTTTGCAGAAGGCCCTTTCTTGTTTCAACTTGACAGTGGTCCTATAAACAAAGCAAGGTCTATAAAGAAATGGGCCCCCTTTTTATGCATGTGTTAATCATAAGCAGTTGTCAGTACCACAAAACCGCTGTAGGATGAATATTTTTGTTTGACACACCATTCTCAACCCCTCAGTGACATTAGTGTGTATAAAAATGCCCAAATGCTGTTGCACCTGAAATGCTTGTGGCAGCACAACACCCACAAGCATGATACTAACACTGCTGTGCTGAGAATGATCCACCACCCTGTTCATATCTGGTCAGTGGTGGTCTTCGACCCTTTCCACTGATGGATAATATGAAGGGTGTCTGGCAGATGGGCCGCAGTCAGTAATTTTTTGCTGACAAAGTGCACCTGTACAGTAGGTGTAGACAGAAGCCGGTGGGTGTAGGCACAAGGTAGTCTTGACAATTTTACGAACAAATTAATATTCTATATATGTATGTGTGTGTGTGTGTGTATATGTGTATATATGTATATATATATATATATGTGTGTGTGTGTATATATATATATATATATATATATATATATATATATTTTTTTAATCAGCATTTCTCTTTCTGATGCTAGCACTTCCATATTAAGACCAACTTTTGTGTTCTCACTAGGTGCCTTAATGAGGAATCCCAATCTGTTGAAGCCTTCCTGGCACTGTATGACTACATGGAGCCATCCAGTGTGAACGAGGTCCTGTCTGCCCTGCTGCTGCTGCCCCAGAGCAGCCTACTGGCTGAGGGTGATAAGCTCAGTTTGTATGGCCATGCTGTGCTGAAGGTTCTCACAAAGAGCTCAGCTCCACCAGGGAAAATCACCCTATATCTGTCTTCAGCAAACCTGCACAGCCTAGCTACTTTGTACACCTCCTGCCACAGTGCTCAACTAGAAAATGTTCTGCTGCAGGTAGGTAGAGCAAATCTTGGACTTGGAAGCACTGCTGCCCTTGCAATGTTATAGTGGTTGTCTTGCAGGGATGTGTTTCTGGCCTTGAAAGTTAGAGCTGCTGTGTGGTATAGAAATTCTAATTGTTTCAAAAGAAAATTAATGATAAATGTTTTTCCCTTAGGTGCTGCAGAGAGAGCCTTGGAGTGCTAAACTTGTCCCAACTGATGTTCTTCTCCACTGCCTTCAGCAGTGCTCTAACTTGAACCTGGCAGCACTGTTGGTACAGAACTGCTCCACTCACTGCTTGAGCTTTGAGCTTTGGTGCCTGGAACAGTCTGACCTTGCAGACATCACAGCTGTAAACAACAGCTTTCTCTGCCTGCTGACAAGCTACATTCGACAAGCTGTCACTCTGGATCCCTGCAGACCTACAGACAGTCAGTATAAAGAGACTAAATGCAGACCTGAATATTGTTTTTGAAAAAATGTTTTTGCAGAATTTATGTAGTTCTGTGAATATTTAGAATTGCTGTTATAAACATGTTTTATGGTGTTTTTTTTCAGTATATTGGTGAGGGTATTAATAATATTTGTTCCTGTTGCAGTTCAAAAGTCAGTCCTGCAGATGTTGGCCAAAACTTTCTTGGCTGAGTTGTTGAGCTCAGCGCTACAGGTGGAAGCTGGTGTGTCTCTGGACCAGTGTATAGAGATCCTGTCCAGCCTTATCCAGCTAGGTGATATGGCTCCTGAACTCTACCAGCTCATTAGTGACTTACCTGCCTACCTTCAAAAGCCAGAGAGCTATGAAAGGTAACCTTGTTTTTAAGCAAGGCTAAGCTCTACACTTTTTATTTTTATCTAGGAGAATAATTTATGGGGCTGTGAACACATTTGCGATTGCGGTTTACGGGGTGGAAAGTGAGCTGATGATGTGAACTAGGATGAAAAAACAGTTTTCTCAATTTTTTTTATTCCAGATTTAAAATGTACCCTTTATGGCCAAAACTATGTGGACTGATTGTCACAGCTATATGAGCTTGTTGGACATCCCATTCCAAAACCACTGGTGTTAATGTAGAGTTGGCCCCAGGTTTGCGGCTAAAGTACCATCCACTTTTGGGGTGTGTCTGTGTCAATTTGTGTTCATTCAGTCAAAAGAGCATTTGTGAGGTCAGGCAGTGACAGTCGACATTCCAGAGGGTCTATCCCAAACTTTAAAACTTTAAAACTTTAAAACTGCCACAGTAACACTACACACTTCAGTGTAAGACAGCCCTACTCTGGGAGTTTGAGTGGTCTGCCACTTTGTGGCTGAGATGTTCTTGCTCCTAGATCTTTCCTTTTCATAATAATAGCACTTACAGTTGACCAGGGCAGATCTAGAAGGGCAAACATTTCACTAATTGTTGAACAAAAAATGTATTGATAATGTCAGATTTGAATAATTTCAAATTATTCTAGTCCTACCTTTTGTGTAAAATGCATTTCTGTCATAGATTTTGTTATTATGCTATTATTATTAGAGAGGCTCCAAGAACAGTTTGTTTCATCAGTGATGTGGTTTCATGTGTGGTGGTTTGTCTTGATTTAGGTGGCAGCTAGCAGACTCCATCACTGCGAAGCTGGCTGATACACCAGAGCAACTGCACTGGAGAAAATCTTTGCTCACTGCTGCTTTCCACTGGCTATCAATAACCTACAAAGAGCAGAAGAAGCCACAGTTTACAAAAGAGGAGGCCATGCTAAAGAGACTGAAAACACTACTGGTGTGTAGATCTGCTCTGTTTTCATGTTACATGTTTTTCAGGCACTGTGCTGTCAAATGTTACAGTAACATTATTATTTTAGATATTTTATTAGGGTGATAGTTGTCATCTTGGTTCTCATCACTCATCTTGGTTAGCTTTGTCCACGTAACCTACCTCTCACAGGAGGGTTAAAGCCATTTAAAAATCGGAGTGTACTGAGATTCACAACATTTGTATGTCATATACAGTGTGCAGTTGCCCAAATAAAGATTTATTTATTAACAGCTAAATTAGCAAGTCTACTACCACTGCCTAGCATGACTGACCAGCTAGTTTAAGGCAGTGGTGTGGGCTCCAGTCAAATGACTCGGACTTGAGTCAGACTTAAGTCACAAATTTGATGACTTCAGACGTAACATGACAAAATCAAAACACCAATGTCTCGGACTTTGATTTGGTCTTGAGCCTTATGATTCACAGACTCAAGGCCCAAAATGGAAGAAACCTGGAGAGGTGTCTGGCTGACTTTCTACAGTTTGTTACTTTTTATGTGAAGGGATTTGTTTACTGGCATAAACAGAGGTGTAAGAATTCAAGCTGGTCTCCATAAGCTGGAAACAAATAAATCATAGATGGCATTAATAGCATAAGTCCTTGCTCAGGATTTCAGTTCCTGTCTTATTAGACTAAACATTTTCCTCTTGGTAGTTAAACAAAAGAAACAGAGCTAGGCTACATCTGAATAACAAATCATATCACCAATCACTGTTAATTTGTCACAATTGTCAATCAAGTTGGATGATTTAAGTGTTTGGGGGGAAAAAACAAGCTGAGCATTGCTTTTGAAATGCAGGGAAATAGTTACATTTGTCTTGCGATATGTTTTATTAATTAATTTTCTTTTAATGTGGAACCTTAGTCCATGTTATGAATCAGCTCTTATATATTGCCTGGCTTCAGAATATTCTATGTGCATGTATCTGCATGTGATAGATATTTTTTCCCACCTGTTGTTGTGCTTTTTAGCTGATAAAGCTGTGATAAAAGGCAGCCCAAAAGACTTTTATATTGTGATTCATTCTAAGTAGGTAATTCGTTATGACATTGGACTCTGTATTGGTGAGTACAAAAAATATGTACTCATACCTCTGCTTGGTCCGAAAAAAAATGGTATCAGTGCATCCCTACAGGGTACATCACAAATTTTCTCCATTTTGTTTATTTTTCACTGATGGCAATTTCATATTCAGTTAATCATATTAATTACTTTTTTAATTTCAGAGGAAACATATTCTGATTTGTGCTCTGAGGAGGGGTCTTTGCTTTCATTGTTGCAATTTGACAATGTTGCTGATACTTTTTTGCTTCTGCAATCACACCTTTGCTTGCATCCTTTGTCCCAAGTCCCAAGTCAAGACAGTCAAGACTCAATTTAAGTCTTGTGTACAGGTCAGTCACAAGTCGAGTCTCAAGTCAAATGCCAGAAGGAAAGTGCTGCAGCACTTAAGATGAAGGGGAAAATTAGAATATTAAGCTGATGACAGTACACTTCTAGTTCTGTGATTATTATTGGGCCATCTTGCATGCACAGCATGTTTAAGATCTACGCACAGATTTCAGTGTTGCATGCAGTTTCTACTGAAGCAATGTACAGGTTTCACAGGTCATGAACTACCCCTTTGAAAAGTTGTGATTCAGTAATATACACATGGTGTCTCGTAGAAGTGATAATCTGCTTATCTACTTATGTAAATGCCTGTTTATGTGAATGCGAACGCAAATACTACAAAGTTACCCATTTTGTTAATATGTGTCATGTGTAGCTAATGTTGTATGTTTGCCTGTGTATGCTTACAGATCTCTCCAGAGAATGTTAGAGCTGTGGACTGGAATGTCTTTGTTAAGTCAGGTCTAAAGTAAGCAGTTTTTGTTGTTTATAACCTTTAAAACTAAAGAATCTTTGAATATTAACATGGCGTAATACATCTGCTTATAGTTCATAATATTTTTTGTTTGTTTTTGGTCCCTTTTGTAACATTTCTTTTCCCAGGTATCGCTATCAAGATCAAGGCTTCTTGGTCACATTTAACACTTTGTTGGAGCTGGTGTACAAAAGTGTAAATACTTCCAAAGAGTTGCTCTCCATAGAAACTCTCCACATGATGGTCACTAGTCATTCTCTGTTCTTGCCCACAATGCTGTCCTCCCAGAACGAGGCAGACATTATTCCTGATTGTAAAGGTAATAATTTCAACCATAGGCTACTCAGTATACTAATCCACAAAAAAAACTCATTGTATGTTTGTATTTTGTGTTCTGCCAAATATGGATATTTATCATGTTTAATCTCTTCTGTTTCATTTCTTAAGAGGCACTGGTATCTCTCTTGCTCACCTTGGTGAAAAAATGCCCCGAGGTCTGTAACAGCAATCATTTTCCTGTTCTTCTCGGTGCATATGGAGCTACACTAAATCCTACAGGTAAATGAATCAGTCCTGTAACAGTGCTGCAGTAAATGATAAGCACATGTGCACTAACACCCGTCTAGCTTTAGGATTAGTTTTAAAGATCAGATTCAAGATTGCGTTCTAAATGACAGTGATGTAAAGCATACAAGGAAGTCTGGTTGCATGAGCATAGATGAAGTCAGATTTGTTGATGGTGGTCAGTTCCAGAGGCCTCCTGCTACCGGGAGTTTCACAGCAGAGTACTTAGCAGGATAGATCATCTGAGTGGTATTCCATCTGAGAGTGGTACAGACAGGGATTTTCCAGAACCGCATTGTTAACGAAGCAGTGACGGGATAGATTAAAGAAATAAAGAGCAAGAACGGTTTGGCATACAGGGTTCTCCACATTGTCTCACCAAAAAAAGGACAAAGGAAAAGAAAGGAAGCACAGAGTCTTCGTATGGAATGTCTAAGACGAGAGTCTTCCACTGTAACAGTACTTCCACAACGTCTAGTCAAGATTTATTTCTATAGCGCTTTTTACAATGTGTCGTCTTAAAGCAGCTTTGAGGAAAATCCAGGTCCAACCCCCATATGAGCATGTCAAGGGTGACCATGGCAAGGAAGAACTCTCTAAGAGCAAGGGGAAGAAACTTTGAAAGGAACTTTTACTCAAAAGGGGAACCTGTCCCTGTCTGGTCAACACCAGAGAGCACAACAATAAAACAACAACAAGAACAATATATTTAAAAAAATAATTTTTACCACAAAATATATATACAATGTTGACTATAGAGAAAGGGAAAGAAACCAGCCTATCACTGGACAGATGTATTTAGATTAACGAGTGATAACCCGACCTATGACCACTGTTAGAGGCCTGTCAGGGTGAAAAATAAAAACAAATATCTATGAAAACCAGTGACTGTTACCAGTGAAAACCAGTTTCTGCTGTTGGGAGCATATCACAGTGAAAATGAGAGTGAAAACATTAGAGACTACTGTTAGAATCCTATCATGACAATATATTAGTATGAATATGTGAAGAGCTCAGAGTATTGTGAGTCAGGTGAAACATATAGCGTATGATTAAATAGTTTTGGTCTGTGCAGGCACCAGTATCATCAGTGGGGCATGCGGATGTGTGGCTTTCTGCACAGCAGGAGAGTGATATAGTAAACAGTACCACCAGAAATAGTACCACAGCGAAGTGATCATTTTTACCCTGCCCACAGCTATCAACCACCACTAACAATAGGAGCTGAATGAAGTCAGATACATGACATAGGCTACTAACTAACCTTCTCTGCAGTTTAAAGAAACTGTGAGTCAGAACAAAAATAGCAGCAAAACACTAAACTACCAAATACTAAAACCCATCTATGACCATAACTATATAAGGTATAAATTGAAGTGATGCATCAGGGTATGAATTCAACTGATAGGAAATAAATCTATTTAACTGCAAATCCATGTACTTTAGCTACCACTGATCAGCGTTTACTTCAGCTAGTCCTGATCATTAGATATTGCAAACATGTTTGTAATTTCTCAAAAGAACCAGCAAATTTGTATTATTGCACATGTAGCTAGCTAGCTTTAAAACAGTTTTGACCATAGTAAGTATCATGTTATAGCTAATTAGCGCTATTTCAGTGCTGATAGTGAAAGGAGGTATGACTTGCTGGGTGAATAATTACTTAAAAATTGTTTTGCGCTTCTACAGATCAGAAACTGCTACAGCTACTGCAAGAATATGAGAAGAAAAACATTAGTCTGGTTAAGTTTCAGTAAGTTTATTGTTTTTTCTTGAAATGTAAATGTATGTGGTTATGTATTCAGCCACATTCTTTGTTTCTGGTTCACTTTCTTTAGGTATGTGTTGCTGTCAGGCCTCACAGGTAAAATGTGATTCCTAACTTGCAAGTATGTATATTTAGGTGTTTGCTCTGGGGTCCTGCAGCAGTGGACTACCAAAAGACACGGAAGTGCTTGGGGCTATCACTATGGCAACAGCCCAGCTCGGAGCAGCTTTTGGCCCAGCTGGCTGCAGACAGGATGCTAAATACTGTTGCCTTCTTTCCACTACACCGTCGCCTGGTGCCACAGGTATTTCACTGTCTAACATCAACACTTGTGTTATTCCACTTGTGCCCTCACTAATTGAGTAACTTCTGAACCAACTGGTTGGAGTAGTTGGATAAAACTCAACTTTAGCAAAGACACAGTTAAACTGACGAATGCCTGTCGAGTGCCATGCACCTGGATGTGGAAAATATGTAGAGGTGAATGTGAAAGCCAGGCTGGATACCATCCTTGAAAATATCCTCCCCCCCCCAAACAATTCTCTAGCAGTAACATTAGTGATCTGACTTATTTCTGAGTTTGCCAGCTTGCAGAAAAAAATATTCAAAATATTCAAAATTTGTCATCAGACAAAAAAGACAAGTCAGCAGGTTAGCTTCCCAGCTAGAAAGGTACATTACTTCAATTTGCCTTATTTTCTCTTTTCTGATTATTTTGTAATTAATTTATATTATCTGCCTCCAGATTTGATCACCATTTTTCTTCAAATACAAAACTTACAGATATTGCTTTTATTGTATTTTTTTATTATAACTTAATTTCTAATGAACAGTTTTCTCTTTTTTGAAAAAACTTCAGCGCTTTCCTGGACAAACCTAAGCTTACAAGTGCCTTCAGCAAAGTTGGTTTCATATTACTGAAAACAGTGATTCCAAACTGTTGAGTGGTAGTGTAGAAAAAATGGGTGACATGTTGCCTGGGTGAGTGGGAGACATGTCACTCTCCATCGATCTCTCCTTCTGCCTCCCTCAACCAGATCTTTTTCAAGTCAAGTCAAGTCAGCTATATTGTCAATACTACAATATGTACAGGACATACAGAGTATTTAAATTGGTGGTTGAGCATCCTGACAGCCTGGCGGATGAAGCTGTCCCCCAGTCTGCTGGTACCTCTGTAGAAGGTGCACATGATGGGGGCTGGGGCTCTGGCTCTCCTCAGTTTGCAGAGGAAGTAGAGGTGCTGATGAGCCGTTCTGGCCAGTGAAGCTGTGTTGTTGGCCCAGGAGAGGTCCTCTGTGACGTGCACGCCCAGGAACTTGGTGCTTTTCACCCTCTCCACAGCAGCACTGTTGATGGTCAGAGGAGCATGCTGGGTGCACGTTCTCCTGAAGTCCACAACGATCTCCTTCGTCTTCTCAATGTTCAGATGGAGATTGTTGTGGCTACACCACAAGGCCAGGCGGCTCACCTCGCTCCTGTAGTTTGTCTCCTCGTTGTTGCTGATGAGACCCACCACAGTCGTGTCGTCCGCGAACTTGATGAAGAGGTTGGAGCTGTGCGACAGTGTGCAGTCGTGGGACATCAGAGTGAATAGGAGGGGGCTCAGTACACATCCTTGGGGGGCCCCCGTGTTCAGTGTGATGGTGTGGGATGTGTTGTTGCCGGCCTGTACTGCCTGTGGGCTCCCAGTCAGGAAGTCTAACAGCCAGTAGCACAGTGAAGTGTTCAGCCCCAGCCTGTCCAGTTTGAGAATGAGCTGCTGGGGGATGATGGTGTTAAGGACCAGGAGCTTTCCGGGCGTTGATCCTGCTGAATGATCTCCTCACACTGACTGGGGACAGCGTCAGCACCTGGTCTCCAGGGAGGGGTGGGATCTTCTGTGCAGGCATCATGTTGTCTGCCTCAAACCGGACGAAGAAGTTGTTAAGCTCATTCAGCAGACAGGTGGAGCTGTCACAGGTCTGCGATGGGGGCTTGTAGTCTGTGATGGTCTGTATCCCCCGCCACAGGCTCCGTGTGTCTCTGCTGTCGCTGAAGCGATGGGCTGTCCTCCTGGAGTACTGCCTCTTTGCCTTTCTGATGCCGCGGGCCAGGTTGGTCCTAGCTGCCCTCAGGCCCACCTCGTCTCCTGCTGAGAAGGCAGCATTTCTAGCCTTCATTAGCCTGTAGACCTCCCCTGTCAGCCATGGTTTCTGATTGGCCCGAACCGCGATGGTCTTGAGAAACTGGAGTCAAAGTATGTTGTTTTTTTTAAATGGATTAATTAAGCATGCTAAACATTTTTAATGGGCCAGAAAATACTTGGACAGGTGTCCATATATTTTGGTGCACCATCAAAGTATAATCTGTGTGTGTGAAAGCTAAACCATATCTGTGCATTATCATGTACAGGATGGTGATTTATAGACCTATGCACAGTTAGGCGAAATAAACTGGAGGAGCAGTCAATTTATTATTATTTTTTTTATAGCACAAAAGTTAAGACCTTTAAAAGGGACATCTTACCCCACTAGTGTGGTAAGCAGCTTACTTGGCAAATCTTGCTTTGGCATTTAGATTTTACAGGATTTACAGAATACACAATTTATATGTCTAATGATTTCAATATTTTCAACACTAAAGTATTGCTTTTTAAATTGAAATTGAGGCCTCTGTCAATGTATGTTGTAATAATTTTACTTAAATAAGCTATGACGAGTCAAATAGATGTCAATTCAAATTTTGTTTATTAATGGTGATTGCATTAGTTACACATTATTGCTGTTGTTATTTTGTGAGTTGTAGGCAGAGGTGTAAGTAATGAATTACATTTACTCTCGTTACTGTAATTGAGTACAGTTTTCCCTGTAACGGTACTTTTTGGAGTAGAATTAAATCATAGTACTTTTACTTGTACTTCAGTTAATTTTTAATGAAATGCTTTTACTTCGCTACTTTAATTTTCACAACGTTACAGAGTAAAAATAAATTATAAGCGTATTAGCTCAAACACCAATACGAACGAAGCGCGGTTAGATTTAAAAGATTCACCAATTAAAAAACAGCAGCTCTGGCAGGAAAAACTCTACAGAGATGTCCAGTTTAGTGGAGAAGGACAGTGGAAAGAACCAGCACACACAAGGAACAGACCGCGTCCAAATGGTCATCTGTGCTCATTTTCACACAAACTAAAGACAACTGCGTTATTATCAGCGGCCAAACATGAAACCTGCTGAGATCCGCTTTCAGAACTCGACTCCACCCTGAGGGAGCATTAGCTGAGGGAGCATTAGCTGAGCTAGCTGATCCGAGCTAAACAGGAACCATGTTTATGGGTTTCTTCTTTTTTTTATAATGATTCTGTTTATTACACTGGAAATCTGTTTTGTGTATTTTATTACAGTGCCTGTCAGTTATTTGGTTAACAGGTGTTGCCCACAGCCTGCAGTTTACTGCTTAGCCTGCAGTTTACCGCTTATACTGCTTATGTGGGGTAAAGCTGGGTAAATTGCTGATGTTGCTGCTGATTTTAATGGTGTAAATGTTTGAAACAGATATCAGTGAAAATATACAGTTTGGGAGCTGATGGACAGCAGGACTCTTACTAAAATTACATTATTAATTAAGCAAATTACTCACAAATTTTTAGTTTTTTTTTTTTCCTCTTAAATATACTTATTGAAACAGTTACATCCTCTGCACAGTCTTTCAGGGATTCTGAAATGCTTTACTGGAAACAGATAAACTAGGACATCTTACATAATCATCTAACCATGAAATGCATGCAGTTTAATGTAAACCTTGTTCCTTACACAGTTCACAGAAACGTGTGTAAATATTTAGTAGCAGAGTGTACTGTGATCAGTCTCAGCTCTCAGAACTTTCGCTTTAGTTTTTTTCTGTACAGATTATTTCCAGTGATGTAGCAGAGTCAGCTCAGAAATATGTTCAGGCTGTGACAGTACTTAAGTAATTTTTCAGCAGACTACTTATTTACTCTTACTTGAGTAATTTTATTTAATAATACTTTTACTTGCACTTGAGTAAATTATCACTACAGTAACAGTACTCGTACTTGAGTAGGGATTTTCAGTACTCTTTACACCTCTGGTTGTAGGGGTATGGCATCCATAATAGCAATACCAGTTTGAACAAAGACATAGCAGGTTAATGCTAATGCTCTCTAGCCTGTCAGTCTTCATTTGGCAGCAAATCTTAATGCTATTTTTGAGGTTAAAGTTTTCTAACTTGACTCTTCTCAAAAGAAAAGAAACATATTTCTCCTCTTAAAAGTAAATGTACTGTTGTCTCCACTACCCCTTTGTAATTATATACTTTTTAACAACTGTTCTTGCAAAACGTGTTGAAAATGCATAGATCACTATTACAAATGAAAAAGATGAATGCAGAAAGAAAGGTAGAATGTTAATTAAATGCTAAATTAAAAAGATTGGTTTTCCGTTGTTTTTAATAGTGTGACCTGAGAATGACTAATGTCTAAAAAAAGCTGGAATTGAGTTTCAGTTTAGAAGTGTAATAATAAAGAGGCCTTTTCATGTTTACTGTATTTACGAAAGGAATTTGCAGAAGGCCAGTATCAGCAGATCATGTGTTGTAACATGAACATTGACAGACAGGCTGAGATATGCAGGTGCTAGGTCATTTTGATCCTTAAAAACTAGCAGCAGAACTAGCGTTTTATCTTATGAACTTCATTGTGTTTGTAAATATATGCTCATTCTGAAATTAATGTCTGGAACACTTTCTGTATGAAACAACGCCATCAGCTTCTCGGGGTTTGAGCTCATCTGGGATGGACTGATGTGGAAATGTGCTGTGGCCTGATAAATCATCCTTTCAGTTCATGGAAATAAGGGACATCATGCTCTGGTCCAAAGAAGTAAAGGACGATTAAGATTGTTACCAGCTTAAAGTTCAAAAGCCAGGGTCTATTGTAGTATAGGGGTGTATTAGTGCCCATGGCATGGGTAACTTGCACATCTATGAAAGCACCATTAATGCTGAAAGATATATACACATTTCGAAGCAACATACACTGTTTTTTAGATGCCGTCATTTTTAGAGATGTCAATTTCTGCACGTGTTACAACAGCATGGCTGCATAATCAGAGAGTGTGGGTGCTAAACCGTACTGCTTGCAGTCCAACCTTGCTCGTATTGAAAACGTGGTGCATTTTAAAATGCAAAATACAACAATAAAGGCTGCACAACTTGTACAACTGAAGAATGAACCACTTTCAGAAGTGGATTAATTGGTGTCTTCAGTCCCCAAGCATTTATTAAGTGTTGGTAAAAGTAAAGGCGATGCAATCGAGAGGTAAACATGCTCCTGTCCCAACTTTTTTGGAATGTGTTGTAGGTATCATATTTGGAATAAGCATATATTTACAAAAAAAACTATGAAGTTCGTGAAGTGAAATATCAAATCATGTTTTTCTACTTTTTTCAATTTAATACTGTAAAGTGGATTTACAAATCACTACTTTCTGTTTTTATTGGCATTTCATGTACTATCCCAACTTTTTTGGAATTGGGTTTGTAGATTTGGCCCCATCATTTGATTAGGAGAGAAGGTCCTCACTGCTCGTAATCCAGCTACTGACATACTCAAGTTCTAATTGCAGGCCTGTGCATGGAGCTACTTAGCCTAATTAAAGTTCCAGTTTGGTTTATTTTTGCTTTGTCTCTGTCGTTTACAGCCGGTACCACAATACTATGATACTGTAGTCAATGACTCCTATAAATAATATATGCGAATGAAATAGTGTTATCAGAACTATTTTAGAATGTGTCACCTATAGAACAGATGCAGAGGGTTTAACACACATTCCTAATAGGGATCTTTAACAGGACAAAATATGGCCATAAACCCTTCCTCAGGCTGTCATCTCATCCGTTGTATTTTTTCCATTTAGGCTACGTTCACATTACCAGGTTGAAGTAGCACAAATCCGATTTTTTGCCCTAATGTGACTCAGATCTGATGTTTTCAGGGCTGTGTGACACGCAAATCTGATCTTTTCAAATCCTGAGCCACTTTCATATGTGGTCCTAGATCGGATATGTATCCAATTCACAGCCATGCAACCTTATTGTGAACGCTCAGATCGGAATTCATTCTTTTTTCCACTGCGTGTGCCCCATCATTCAGCGTTATCATGGCAGCAGCACCGAACCAAAGTTAAAGCCTGTAAATGGTGGAAAAGCAACTCATCTCCTAATAATGAACAGCTGAGAGCTGATCAGAGTTAATTATCTTCACAGGCTCCTTCTGCATGTTAGTTTGTGAAACATCCTGTCAGAGAGATCGGATTTGAGCAAAAAATCTGATTTGAGTAATGAGGGTTGTAATGTAAATGTAGCTTTAGTTTTCATGTGTTTTTTGCTAATTATTTCAAATGCATAATTATGAGATCTGCAGGATCATATTAACACAGTGGCAGAGAGACTGTGTTTGCATTTTTATTTGCATTATTATTGGTAATAATTTGTTATTTGTAATGACAAAACAAGCTGTAGCATTCACAACAGATAGACATCAATATAAGATGTGACTTTTTTTTTCATATTTAGAACAATGTAACTGCTTCATTGAACAGGCAAGTTATACTGTTCTTTACAATGTAAAAAGGACACCGTGTCCCTATGCTTTTCTATTTTATCCCTCTATCCATTGTTCACTTCTCCATAACCCATAGAAACCTGTTCATTTTGTCACTTCTGAAGTTTTCATTTTACATTAAGTTGAATTTGGCAAGCCAACTTCAAAGCTGAGTTTTCTGTTTCAGCCTTCTTACTGTTTGCCTGTTAACATTTGAGTTGCTATTAATGATTAAAATTTACCATTAAAGTTAAAAAGTACAAATTTATTAAACATGTTTATGATGCACAAAGTATCACATTCATTTATGCTTTGATTTATGATATATAATTTTGCTTTTGTTTTTTTTTTTTTTTAGGAGGGACAAGAGGTGATTTGCACAGAGGAGCCAAAAGGCACTCCAGATAAGCTGTGTCTGTATGACCCCTGCTTTCTTCTCCCTCTTTTCAGCTTCATTCTTCGCCCAGGTAACTCCTAAGTTAACTCCCTGCATGTGTTTATGTGCAAATGTGATTGATGGTATGTAGCACCGATAAAAAAGTATCAACCTTAATCTAGTTATCTGTAGTTTAATACACTTGTGTTCTGGGTAAGAGACAGTGTTTTTCACTCCTGCTCCTTGGAGGGCCAGCAACTTTAAGGTAAAGTGATTTCCTGCTGCATGGCAGTTGAAGAAAACTAAAAGGAATTTAGTTTTAAAAGTATTGCTTATGTTTTCTTTAAAATGTATTTAGCCTTTGGAGTCTTTCCTCATCACACCTTAGTTTAAGTCTCTGATCAGTGCCAACTACTGTTGGAATGCCTTTGAACAAGTGACTGATTTTCAGATCCTCAGGTTATTCCAGGATGACTACCGCTGTCAGCTCTATGGAATTTTGTGCCAAAAGTTTAAAATAAAATAATAAATTCCGCAAGCAAAATCCTAAGTATCAGAATGTCCAAAATATGTGGCAAATACTTAAAGTAAAATTAAACTTTAAATCTTTTTTAAAAGATCACTATTCATTGTCACGTATTCTGATATAAATGTATTATTTATTTTGCTAGTATTTGCTTTTTTTTCCTATTTTCTGATTTTGCTGAAATATTTTTTGCTTCTGAAATCGCTCTTTTGCTTCTGAAATCTTTCTTTTGCTTGGGACTTGCACTCTCTTTTGGTCAAGTGATTTGGAGTAACCTGTCTTCTGAATGTATAGCCACAGTCACTCTGACAGCGGTGATCTGCCTCGAATATGGCGGAGCATGTCATACTGAGTGTAGTACTGCCAGAGAGGATTGTGCTGGTGTGAGCAATGTTTGTCGTATTTATTAACGTAACATACGCTTAGGGTCATGGATCACGGGCAGTCATGTTTAATCACTACAGAAGGGAATAAAGTCAACCTGTCATGGTTGGCCGTTACGTTCTTGAGGTTACGAAGGCTGTTATGCCAACTTTTTTTTTTTTTTTATAAATCTGCGTTAGTGACTTAAACCCGGCTTTCTATTTTAGCACGCCACTTTACAGAGTGCTGGTGCTCCAGATCACTAGTGTCATTGCATTCATACAGTGAACTAATGTTAGGTATACACTTACCGACCATTTTATCCCTCTTTGTCCATTTTATCAGCTTACCATATAAGTGCACTTTGTAGTTCTACCATTACAGACTGTAGTCCGTCTGTTTCTCTGCATACTTTGTTAGCCCCCTTTCATCCTGTTCTTCAGTGGTCAGGACCAGCACAGAGCAGGTATTATTATTTGGGTATTGGATCCTTCTCAGCATGGCAGTGACTCTGACTTGGTGGTGGCACGTTAGTGTGTCTTGCACTGATAGGGGTGGATCAGATAGCAGTGCTGCTGGAGTTTTTAAACACTGTCCACTCACTGTCCACTCTGTATGATACTCCTATCTTGTTGGTCCATCTTGTAAATGTAAAGTCAGAGATGATAGCTCATCTGTTGCTGCAGAGTTTTTGTTAGTCATCCTCTAAGTCCTTCATCAGTGGTTACAGGACGCTGCCCACAGAACACTGTTCTAGCATCAGCTAGGGATGTGCATTCAGACTGATTTTGATATTCGAGAATCTGTAATGAACAGATATCAGAGTTAATGAACAGATATTTGGTTAACTGCCAGGAAGGAAAATCCAACGAAATAAATGTACTTTGGCCTAATATTTTTGCATAAATATTTTAGGTGATAACACTGGTGTTTTGAAGGCTAGTAAAACAGTAGCCCAAAAAAATTGCAACATGTACAGGTATAAATTTGGGCAATACAGAGGCTCTCTGGATGTTTACTTTTTGCAAAAAAGAAGAAAAGAAATAGAAATCTTTAGTTGTATAAGTTCATTGTTAATAAAATATTCTATGAATGATGATAGGTTAATATTTTAATATTGAAAAAGAAATCTGATGTTCTGATCATTTTTAGGGCCCTGTCTTTGAATCGTCCTAACCCCCCCATATGGCAGCCCTGGTTGTAAAGTGCAGAAAGGTTATTGCCACTGTCATGCTGAAATAAGCGTGGATGCCCCTGAAAAAGACATAACCCAGGACGCAGCATATGTTGCTCCAATATACCACAATATTCAATATATTACCACAAAATATTCCCAAGCCCATATATTCCCAAAGTATTCCTGAAGTCTTAGACTTTGATTTCCTAGATGCTCCTTTTACATCTAAGCATAATTGCATCACTTGTTTAAGACGTTTTTCTTTTTTTTAACTTTCCAATTTTTAAATTACCCTGTCCCAAATTTTGGAACATTTTGCAGGCATTAATTTCAGAATGAACGTGTATTTACAAAAAACACTGAAGTTTATAAGGTAAAATATTAATATCTTATTGGTGAGAGTGGATTTACAAATCACTGCTTTCTGTTTTTATTTGCATTTCATATACTGTTCTAACTTTTTGAAAACTGTGGTTTGTACTAGTTTGCTATCTGCAATGGCCCTCCACTAACCAGCACAACATAGAAGGCATGTTACATTTACCTGGCTAGGGATGGGAGGTGAGGTTAAAGAGTAAAGAAAACAGTTCCTATTCAGCTTATAACTGCTAGCCTTTTTACCTGTTGCACTTATAACATTAGTAAGAACTAATATAACAAATACTGAAAAACCAATATATACACTATATTGCCAAAAGTATTCGCTCGTCTGCCTTCATACGCGTATGAATGTGACATCCCATGCTTAATCCATAGGGTTTAATATGATGTCGGCCCACCCTTTGCAGCTGTAACAGCTTCAACTCTTCTGGAAAGGCTTTCCACAAGGTTTAGGAGTGTGTTTATGGGAATTTTTGACCATTCTTCCAGAAGCGCATTTGTGAGGTCAGACACTGATGTTGGAAGACGAGGGGTGGCTCACAGTCTCCGCTCTAATTCATCCCAAAGGTGTTCTATCGGGTTGAGGTCAGGACTCTGTGCAGGCCAGTCAAGTTCTTCCACACCAAACTTGCTCATCCATGTCTTTATGGACCTTGCTTTGTGCACTGGTGCGCAGTCATGTTGGAACAGGAAGGGGCCATCCCCAAACTGTTCCCACAAAGTTGGGAGCATGAAATTGTCCAAAATCTCTTGGTATGCTGAAGCATTAAGAGTTTCACTGGAACGAAGGGGCCGAGCCCAACTCCTGAAGAACAAGCCCACACCATAATCCCCCCTCCACCAAACTTTACACTTGGCACAATGCAGTCAGATAAGTACCGTTCTCCTGGCGACCGCCAAACCCAAACTCGTCCATCGGATTGCCAGACGGAGAAGCGTGATTCATCACTCCAGAGAACACGTCTCTCACGTGCTTTACACCACTGCATTCGACGCTTTGCATTGCGCTTGTTGATGTAAGGCTTGGATGCAGCTGCTCGGCCATGGAAACCCATTCCATGAAGCTCTCTACGCACTGTTCTTGAGCTAATCTGTAGGCCACATGAAGTTTGGAGGTCTGTAGCAATTGACTCTGCAGAAAGTTGGTGACCTCTGCGCACTATGCGCCTCAGCTCTGTCATTTTTCTATCACTATTTACTACCACTTCATGACTGAGCTGCTGTCGTTCCCAATTGCTTCCACTTATATAATTATAATACCACTGACAGTTGACTGGAATATTTTGTAGCGAGGAAATTTCACGACTGGACACAGGTGGCATCCTATCACGGTACCACGCGGGAATTCACTGAGCTCCTGAGAGCGACCCATTCTTTCACAAATGTTTGTAGAAGCAGTCTACATGCCTAGGTGCTTGGTTTTATACACCTGTGGCCATGGAAGTGATTGGAACACCTGAATTCAATGATTTGGATGGGTGAGTGAATAATTTTGGCAATATAGTGTAGTTAAGAGTTAGTGATGACTATAATCATTTTATAGTGTATTTTATAGTGGACAGTGTGAAGACAGCAGCGAAGAATAAGCCAAAGTGTAATGGCTGCACACTCACATTTTACAATCAGATAGCTTATCCACATTGACATACAGCTAGCTTATCCATTGACAATTGAAAAAGAAAACATAAAACAAAGGATCAGAATTGTATTCAGCTTAATATAGCCGATGCATCATCCATTAAAGTATACCTGAATTAGCTGTGATTCTGATCCTTCAGATCAGATCGGGGTATCACTACTACACTGGTCTCACTTTGTTTGTTGTTTTGTAACATGAGGCCTCTTCTCCTCCTCCTTCCCTCTGTGTTTTATCAGAGTCTGTGGTAGACTGCCAGAAGTTTGTGTCTTGTCATGCTCTGGGTGTCACTGTAGTGGCTCTAAGCAGCCATGATCATAAAATGAGGTCTGCAGCCTATCATGTACTATGTTCCTTCTACGAGCATCTGGAGGGAGCCTGCTTCAGAGAGAAAAAACAGGTAGATACCATACAAACAGCCACACAGACACCATACTTTTTGTCCCTATAAGTACCATGTAGGACATAAATCAGGTAATACTTTAAGGCCATCTTCTTAACAGTTAGTTCACTATTCACAAGCAATTAATAATGACATAATAAATGGAAACATGTTGTATGCAAGCTTAGAACTATGTTATAAATGTATTTACATGATGAGTTAATAAGATCCTCTGGAAATTAGTTTTTAACTGTTTGTTGAATATTAATTGCAATCTTTCAGTTGCAAGCATACTTAATGTCTTTATTTGGCATGTTAATTCTGAATATAAAGAGGTAATAATTATATAAACTCATAATGACCAAAAATCTCCACCGATTTTGCAAAATTACTAAATCATTCAGTGTTTTAGATGTGAACAAAATCATTCAGAGTAGAGGCAGAGAGCGAGAAGAACAGCGAGAACAACCCAGGGCGAATGGAAATTGGTGTCAACAACAAACTATGTGCTACTCCACATACCAGTTTATGGGATACGATAGCAAGGTAGTCTTTTTTTTTCTTTTTTTTTGTGGCCTACTTCAGACTGTCTGTTGTAATCTACTGGCTAACAGTGATATTCATGGCAACTAATTTGTTTCACTCACGAACATTTCTTACCTTGATTCCAGTTTCTGCTGGAGTGAAACTGCAGGTGTGTAAATCTGTGGATCAGTAGCTCTGCACTCAGACCCTTCTCCAAAACGTACAGGGTGGAGAGGTACATGCAGGGCTTTGTACGGAAAAAATAGTACCCAAAGAAATTGTTTTTTTCCTTTTAGTTTGGCACTATTTTACCATTATTAGTGTGACATATAAAAACTTACAAGACGCATGTAAGTTTACTGGTCATTTTGGATAGTAGATAAAATGGTGATATTTGTAGTGCAGACATAACAACGTCTGGTTCCTAGTACTACAATGGTGAACAATTTTGACTCAGTAAATTTCTCTATAAAGGAGCATTTCTCACCAAACTACTCTGAATGATTTTGTTTACATCCGTTAACTGTTAAATAATTAATTAATTTAGCAAAATCGATGGGTTCCCTTTTATTTAAGAAGCAGACACCTAAAGTAAAGTGTTACATATAAATACATAATTAAATATTACAGAAGGTTTGGAGAGTTGAGTGGCAAGAAGCTTTTGTTTGTGATGTCTCCAGCTGCTTTACCTGTTGGATACGGTCAAGAATGGGATTCAGAAACAAAACCTCAAGGTCTCATTTGTACATACCACCTACATTGCAAAAGTGGCTCAGCAGATTCTGAGGCCTGGTGAGTGGAGTCTTATTTTTGGAGCACTGTCATGTATGCATTAACTGGGAGATATTAGGATTTTGATTTGATTGATTTGCTTACCCTCAAAACTGTCTGCCCATCTACAGAGGAGCACTTGTACCTGGTGATAAATAGGTTTCTTTTGGGAACACAGTGTGTGGATCTCAACAGGGTTCCTGACTTCTTCAGACTTTTTTATAGCTTTGATTTGGAGGTAATGTATGATTATTTTCTTAAAGTTTCTTCAGTCTAAAAGAAAAAAACAGCCATTGTTTGTTGCCAACAAACTGACTGTCTCTCTCAGCATAAACTGGAGCGGGACTGGATGCTGAATGTGTTGGAAGAGGGCATGATGGACAGACTCAGCTTTAATCTGTGTGAACAGCAGAGCATCTATCACACACTTCTTGGCTTTTGCAGCAGCCCTCTTTGTGACCAACCTATCCAGGTACACTGCTCTTGCTAGGTTAAAAAAGGGAAAGTCACCTTCTAGACAAAAAAAACCCAAAAGTAATCCGAAAAAACAATGAAAAGCAGGAAATATGGATTAAGAATGCATTATGCAACTTTTACAGGTTTTAAATCTATAGTCTCAGGTGTCAATCACTGCTCTTTGATTTCTTAAATAATGTAGAATATGTTATTAAATTTAAGGTTGTTACATTATTTTACAGGAAAAATAACCCTCTGCTTACTTTTTGCAGATTCAGATTGTGAATATACTCAGAAAGAGTGCACGTGTCATCAGAGCAGCTTATGACCTCACTAAGGCTCATGGAGTTCTAACATGGATCATACAACTCACAGAAAAGAGGTCAGTATGAAATTGTCTTGTTTACAACAGGTTGGGGTGGGAGGTGTACTGGTATTAAAGTGAAAGCCATTATGAGGTTGTCAGTTCACAGTATAATTTACATTATGTTCCTGCAAAAAAAATCTATCCTAAAATTCCCTCAAACCTCTACAGGAGTAAAATGGGAAAGGGTTGTACCAAGTTGTGGATGCAGTGATAAGCCCACAAACCACTTGAACAGCATAAATAATTTGGTTGCACTTTGCACTACAGATTGGTAATAAGGGAATAACAGTATGATAATTTTGAAAATGTCATGCTAATTTTCTAAATAATAAGTTAGTAATTGTATTGATAACAAGTTGGAAATGAAATTATATTAACCAAACAATGTCATAATAAATTGCAAGTTGTTATTAAATAATAAGTTAGTATTTGTAGTGATAACTACTGTATACCACCCCATTTTCAAAAAGTTGGGATGCTGTGCAAAATGTAAATAAAAACAAAATTCAATAGTAATATTATTATTATTATTATTATTATTGTTATTATTATTATTATTATTATTATTATTATTATTACTACTACTACTATTACCACGGTGTTTTATCACCTCTTCCTTTAAAAACTCTCTGTAAGCATTTGGGAACTGAGGAGACTGAATGCTGTAGTTTTGAAAGTGAAATGTATTTATATTTTTTCTTAACATAGGAATTCAGCTGCTCAACAGTTCAGGGTCTCCTTTGTTGTATTTTTCATTTCATAGTGCGCCAGATGTTTTCAGTAGTGACAGGTCTGGACTGCAGGCAAGTCAGTTAAGCACCCAGACTCTTTTAATACCCATGCTGTTGTCATACATGCAGAATGTGGTTTGACATTGTCTTGCTGAAATAAGCCTTCCCCGAAAAAGACGTCATCTGGATGGCAGGATATTTTGCCAAAACATGTATATATAATGCATTAATGGTGCCTTCACAGATGTGCCAGTTACCCATGCCATGTTCACTAATGCACCCCTATACCATCACGAATGCTGGCATTTGAACTGTGCACTGATAACAAGCTGAGTGGTCTTTACCCCGGAGGACACAGTGTACATGATTTCCAAAAAGAAATTCAAATGTTGATTTGTTGGACCAAATGACACTTTTCCACTTCTCCTCAGTCCATTTTAGCTTGGGCCCAGAGAAGGCTGCAGCATTTCTGGATCCTGTTTATATACGGTTTTTACTTTGCGTTTAACAGTTTAAATTAGCTTTTGTGGCTGCAGTGCCAAACTGTTTTCATAGACAGTTTTTTTCAGAAGTTTTTCTGAGCCCATGCAGTGGTTTCCACTACAGTTTCATGCCATTTTTTAATGCAGTGGCTGCCTGAGGGCCCAAAAACACAGCCAGCAAATACTTGTTTTTGGCCCCGTCCCTTACATACAGAGATTTCTCCAGATTCTCTGAATCTTTTAATGTTATTATTTAGTGTAGATGATGAAGAACAAAAGTTCTTTGCTATTTTATATTGAGAAATGTTGTTCTTGAGTAGTTGCACTATTTGATTGTGCAGTCTTTCACAGAGTGGTGAACCCCTCCCCATCTTTACTTATGAAAGACTCAGCCTCTCTGGGATGCTCTTTTATACCCAGTCATGTTACTGACCTGTTGCCAATCAACCACCAGGTGTAGCATTACACAATTTTACCAGCCTTTTGTTGCCCACTGTCCCAGTTTTTTGGAACGTGTTGCTGGCATCAAATTCAAAATGGGCATATATTTTTCCAAAAACAATAAGATTTCTCAGTTTCAACATTTGATATGTTGTCTGTGAAGCATTTTCAATGAAATATAGGGTTTAAATGATTTGCACATTTATTGCATTTTGTTTATATTTACATTTTTCACAGCATCCCAACGTTTTTGGAAATAGGGTTGAAATAAAATGAAAAATATTGGTGACAAATTCTAATTACCCATAATGTAAATGTAAATTTTCCCGTTGATACAAAACATTTGTTGGAATAAGGTGCCCAGCATAATATCTGCTTAATCAACAAATCCGACACAATTCTTTTAAATCGAGTTACAAACCCAAGCACTGTGAAGTAGTTCTGCTGAAAATATGTAGTAGTCTTAGTGCTGTAAAATACTAATAAACTTGTTTCTATTTTGTTTCTTCTTCTTCTTATTATTATTATTATTATTATTATTACTCTTACTCTTACATCACGCATGTATTTTTATACTACATGTTTATCTTTCTTTATATAAATTTATCTTAAAGTTTAATAACAACTAGAAAATTAGCAATTAAATTTTTTTTTGTTGCCACTATTTTATTATTACATGTTATTAAAAGGTTAAAAAGTTGCCTTTCATACAAGCCGCTTGCGGCAAGCAGCAGTAGCAGTCACATGCAAACAGCAAGTGTAAGTTTTTGTGCTTGCCACATACAGGCACTATAGGCATGCCCAAGATACTTTATAATACTTATTATTTTTCTAATGGCTTACTTTTCTCGCTCTTTTGTTTGTCCTTTCTTGGGCAATGTAACATTACCTATTAAGTAAAAGGAGGAAGTACTTCCACTCAAAAAATGCGTCCAGCAGGCAGGAGCCAAACCTTAACTTAAACCTTAAAACCTAAGCTGTAGCACTTCGTAAACATGCAATCACAAGGTGCCTTGGTTAGCTACACTCTTAGCAAAAAGGGTTCTGAAAGGGTCCTATAACGTTCTGAAAAAGGGTTCTTTGATTCAGAGTGGAACCCTTTTTGGTGCTACATACAACTGTTTTTAAAGAAGAGTTGAAATTTGACCGTTACAGGAACCATGTATGCATTCAAATAGTTCTTTGAGTGTTCATGGTTCTATATAGTACTGTTGCCTTTACTGAGGAACCCTTGAAAAAACATTTATTTAAGAGTATACAGCCACCAATGAAATATTATAGAGACCAGCTGCAAGTGCAAAGCAGAATAGAGGATGCATAGGGAGGTAAAAACAAACCAGAGGTTGTTTTGTAGAATAGAACATTTCAGTCTTATATTTTTTATTAGGTTTTTTGGGCTTATAAAGTTAAGTATCATTTAGAATGAATTATTGTTGTTGTTGTTATTATTATTATTATTATTATTATTATTATTATGCCAGAACAAAAGTGAAATATTGTGACAAATTTAATGCATCATAATATGAATTGTCCGTCCCTACAACAGGCATACGTACCACTTTGAAATACTCGTGTTACGTTTTCAAATTCATTTAATTTTAAAAATGTCTGACTAATTCAAATTCACTTGCTTTTGGCAGGTGTCTTGATGGCAAGCTGTTGAGTGCTGTGATTGGACTGCTCCATTCCCTGTGGTTCACTAACCTAGGCGAGAAAGAGAGCAGCAGAGCAGGGGTGCAGAGCACCAGGGCAGCAGACCAACAAGGAGATGGTTCAGCCAAGTGCTTTCCTCTCCCAATTATCAGCGACTTCCTGTGTGCCCTGCTCTCAGTCATTAGACACCTGAGGTAAACGCTAGGGTTAGTGTTAAGGGGTTAACCCTGACCCTAACCTTAACAGGACTAACCGTAAACGCAAAGCTCCAATTTTATTTCAAAACCTGATCATTTATTTGCCCTGACTGCATACCTCTAAGGTTCTGTTACCTGGCCGTTGTTCTGGTCGTGGCATGCGCACTTTTTACAAATATTATCACCAGATTTACCATTGCATAGTTGTAAGTACTGTACTGCTGCCTTGATTTTAAAGCTGCAGTCGGAATGAGAAGAGAGTGGTCTTACCAAGTCCCTTTCCCTCGCCTGCACTCCAGCACTGCCTCCAAAGCCTCTCCCAGCAGAGGAGGCAGCTGTGCACATGCGGGCTAGCAATCATGACTAGATGTTTGTTTGATAAACTGTTGGGAATCAAGCAAGCAAAGTTTATTTACAGGTGTTGTCACAAAGCAGCTTTACAGAAAAATCAGCATTACAGAAAGAAATCCAGGTCTAAAGCCCCATGAGCAAGCCAGTGACAACAGTGGCTAGGAAAAACTCCCTAAGAGCAGGAGAAAGAAACCTTAAGAGGAACCAAGACTCAGAAGGGGAACCCATCCTCTTCTGGTTAACACCGGATAGCAAAACATTGTTATTATAAGGTATTGTAGTACACAACAGGGAAAACAGGTGGAGCAATGGTTAAATTGATTAGTTTAAGCAGCAGCAGCATCATTGGGAGGGTCAGTTTGTGAGGGTGAGGTTTGCACAGTGTTGTTCAGCATGAAGCTCAGTGGTGGTCAAGCCGGTCCAGAGGGCTGGCAAGCAGTGGGTACCCGATCAAGGCAGGCGAGGCAATAGCATCAGACGCACAGAATGGGAAACTGTTCAACTCGGCAAACAAAGGAAAAACACACAGAGTCAGTTCTGTAATGAGTGACTGCTCACAGATTACAGTATAAACAGAGCAGCAGAGACTCCATCAGGTCTGGATCTGACAGGGAAAACTAATTACCAAAGCCTTGACTATACAAGTAAGTTTTTAGCCTAGACTTAAAGACTGAGGCTGTGTCTGAGTCCCGAACATTAATAGGAAGATTATTCCAAAGCTGGGGGGCTTTGTGTGAGAAAGCTCTCCCCCACCAATGTAACTTTATAAATTCTAGGTAGTAATAGTAAGCCAGCACCTTGTTATCTAAGTAGGCGTGATGGTTCATAGTCGGAGAGAAGTTCACTCAGGTACTGAGGGGCGAGTCCGTTCAGAGCTTTATAGGTCAGAAATAGAATTTTATAGTCAATGCGAAATTTAACTGGTAACCAGTGTAGGGTTGATAGAACTGGGCTGATATGGTCAAACTTTCTGGCTCTTGTGAGGACTCTGGCTGCAGTGTTCTGGACTAGCTGAAGCTTGTTAAGGCTTTTGCTGGGACATCCAGACAGCAGGGCATTACAGTAATCTAGCCTTGAAGTAATAAATGCATGAACTAACTTTTATTATAATTGTTTTGCTACAACTTTTTCGAAGATCTTAGATATAAAGGGGAGATTTGAGATAGATCTGTAATTTGATAGTTTGCAGGGGTCAAGGTTAGCTTTCTTAATCAGCGGTCTAATTACTGCTAGTTTAAGAGTTTTTGGGATGTATCCAAGGCTAAGAGAGGAGTTTATTATTGACAGAATAGGCTTGGTTATTTCTGGCAAATTTTCCTTGAGTAAACCTGTTGAAGATTTTGCAGAAGAAACAATTTTAACTAGTTCATTTTCTTGAAGTAAGGTAAACTATTCCAGCCTCTCTGCAGTGACTATAATATTCTCAAGATTTAAACTGGTATTATAAGGCAGCAGGTTTGTAGAGTTTAATTGTGTATTCTGAATTTTCTGTCTAATTTTTTCAATTTTATCACTAAAGAAATTCATAAAATCATTGCTGCTATAGGCTAATGGCATCTGGGGTTCACTAACTGATTTGTTCTCCGTTATTATTTTTATTGTTTTCTATGAGAGAGGAGAGATAGGCTGAGCGTGCTGTAGCAAGTGCTCTTCTATAGTCTATAAGGCTCTCCTTCCAGATGGACTGGAACACTTCTTGTTAGGCGCCATTTTCGCTCTGGTTGTCTGGCAGTCTGTTTTAAAGCTCGAGTATGTTCATTATACCAAGGGGCGAGGTTTTTCTGCCTTACTATTTTACTTTTTAATGAAGCCACACTATCTAGAGTAGATAGAAAAGTATCCTCTAAGAACTTGGTCATAATATCTAACTCGGTAGGATTAGAGGGACAGCTGACAGAGCTGATAATTGAGGAAGGTTTCTGATAAAGCTAGCAGCTGTGGAGGGAGTTATTGTCCGCTTAACACAATAACATGGTGTTGAACGTACATTACCACTAAAGTGAATTTTGTATGAGATTAAGTAATCTGAGACTGCTGTGCTCTGGGGGAGAATGGCTAAGTTATCTATGTCTACACCAAAGGTCAGTATTAAGTCTAGGGTGTGGTTGTGGTAGTGAGTGGGCCCCTTTATAATTTGGGGGAAACCAATGGAGTCTATGATGGATATAAATGCCTTACTTAGTGCATCTTGAGGATTGTCAAAGTGGATATTAAAATGTCTGACAATTATTATTTTATTTGAAAACGTTATTAAACTTGATAGAAACTCTGTAAACTTCCTGTAAGAACAATGAATACGGCCCTGGCAGCCTGTAAATTGTAATTAGTGAAAAGGAATTTTTATTTGTTCCTTGCTCAAGTATATTAAGTAAAATAACTTAAAAGAAGAGAATTTATAGCCTACTTTCCGGCTCACGCTTAAAGCTTTAGTATGGGTGGTTGCTATACCTCCACCCCAGCCACTTAAATGAGGGCTATGCGCATAACTGTAGCCTGTGGGGGTGGCTTCACAGGGAATAGTGCTAAATAAACAGTAAACCACCTATGAAAACAAATAGCTGTGAGAGCACAGGCACACACGAATATCTGGGCAAACACCAAAACAATACGACTGCCCGGGCACATTACAGGGATATTTTAAACAACTTTCAAATAAAACAACGCTAACCAGTGGTGACCACCAAGAAAAAAATGATGTTAGCCTAACTGCAACATCGCAGTAACATGAGATAATGTAATAAAATCACATAAAACATAAATCAAGCAGGGGTAAATACCTGTCAAGCAGAAACATGGCTAACTCTGCATAGGATTTGAAGCCTTTCAGATCCCATAGCGACCTCCACCTCTGAATGGCTGCTCCAATGTTTACCCTTGTTCTTTTTCGGCCTCTGACTAATTCTGTCTTTAGGACTTGCTTTTCTTCATCTTTCTTCTGTTTGCTTGTCTCTGTTGTGTACAATGTTTTTGGCAAAGGATGGATGGGCAGTTTTTACTTGCTGGAGGTTGTTTATCTGCCATTGTGCTTGCATTATTATAAATATTATTAAACTTTTTCCTGTAGTAATCACGAAGCAGTAGTATCAAACCATTTTCTTATGACTCCAAGCCAGCCTACTGTTTCAAATATGTGCTGCGCTAGTTCTGGACGCGTTACGGAAATTATGTGTCAGAACAGTAGTTTGCCAGAAATATTTGTGTAATTCATCTGTAGACTGTAATGCACGCACATTCTAACACGGAACCATTTATGTATCATCTGATTTCTAGATTGCTAGTATTTGAAATGATTTAACTACAGAGGTGCAAGGGCTCTGGTGTCTCCTCTGCTGCAGCTTTGAGCTGTGAAGGAATGGTTAAGTTAATCCACCTAGCATGTATATGCTTGCAAATATGGAAATATTACAGTGCAATGCTAAAACAGAAAAAATCTTTTCAAATTGTATTGAAGTGTCCCGTAAACAGAAACATTTTTTCACAGTGTTGTGTTTTTAGGGGACCCTCTAATGAACCCTCCAGTTGATGCTACCAGTTGACTGTTATACTGTAACAGCTGTGTCATTGTGTTTGTGATGAATATTGTGTATTATATTTCTGGTCAGGAGTGGAGTGGAAATAAAAGAAGTGCAGTGGTTTTTGCAGACCTTGGGATCTGTGCTGAGACATCAGAAGATGTCTCTTGGTGCCTATAAGGATGCTGGCTGGCTAACAATGCACCCCCACAACCTTTCGTGCTCTGCAGCACTCAGGCTGCTTCACTGCTGGGGAACACTGACCCATGACAAAGCTTTACTGTTTGACCTTCATGACCTGGCCTACAAGCACAGCATTAGAGGACTGTTTGGTAGGTGTTCCCTTGGTTTTCTGTTTCTGTGGTGATATGCGTTTTTCAGCTACTCAGTATTTCAATACACAAGTAACTTTTCAGTGTTGGGATGAAGGATTCAGTGTTATGAAGGATTGTGTACTCTGTAGTTAATCCTGGTGATACTTCAAAGCAGGATCTCTCACTAAGCAAAAGTAAAAAGTGAGAATTGTCCAGTATGAATAGTCCAGTTGAAATGGTCCTTTTCTACTGTTGGCTAGTCTTGACATATGGCTTTAAACTTGCCTGAATCCTCTGTGGTCCATTAGATTTAATGCCAGTCGTTGCAGGACCAATAGACATTCCTCTTCTATGACCAGCTAAATGTTCAGGATATGCATCATATTGATTTTGTGTAACATTCCTGCCCTCACCTAAATATAAATAAATGTTTTTTTCTCAGAAACAAACAAGGAGAAATTACGAGGGAAAGTTTCTTCAAAGCCTTCCCAATCCTGTCTGGAGCATCTGCGTGAAGTTGCAGATGGACATCTAGATGAGTGCAAATCCATCCTGATGAATATTCTTGCAAACTGGGAGCCATGGCGTGTCCTACCCAATTCTAACCTTTGTAGTAGTGACTTTCCTGATTCTAGCAGTCTGATCTATGCAACTGCTCACACTGTCCTTAAATGGATCCTCAAGACTTTGTCTGAGATGAGCTATGATCAAAGCAACACCTGTGCCTTCTTGAAATGGTTGCAAAGTGTTGTTCTGTCCTATAAAACAATTGCAGATTCTTTGCTATCTGATGAAGCTATGCGAGTTGACCTCTTGAGACTGTACCACCAGACATGTGAGTACAGAGTGGAGGAAAAAAGCATCTCCAAACTGGACGCCGTTGAGCTTTTTACCTCAACTATGGTGCACTTGTTAGAGGTGGAACGATCCCCAGATGTTCTTCACACGAGTGTGATAAAGGCATGCTTGTACACAACTACTGATGAAGGTCCCAAAAGGGGTAAGGCTTACCCATAATCATATTTCTACTTTATTTTAATACTGATTACTTTGTTTGCCAGTGTAATAATTCATCTCTGTTTTGCTTAGAAGCAGGGCTGAAGTTACTGTCCTTGTACATTCATGAACTTTGGAGTGGAGCCAAGGTGCCTCAGCTGCTCCTGACTCATGCCAAACTAGTGACCAGAGACAGAAAGAAGTCCCAGAAAAGTTCCAAAAGTCCTGTCGTACACCTTTGTAAAGACATTCTCTCTGCTTTGGACTCTTGATAACTTGAAATCAAAAATGTCAAATATACATTAATGTTAACCTTTTGCATGTTTGTAAAAACCCATTTTAATATAAAGGCTAAGTATGACCTTGAACACAAGAATATTGCAGTGCTGGAATACATTAAACAATACAATAGGTTGAATTCATTATGAGAAGAAAAACCGGTTTTTAGTCATGTTAAATATTCAGTAACATTCCTAATGTAAAATTTGTTTGTCATTACAGCTCAAGACTTGTGTTGCTCATGCAATTGTTTACACTGGTGTGACATCTATAAACGAACCTTAAGCTTAAATCCATAATTTACATGAGGATTAAGCAAAGTGTGATTTTTGTTTTGACAAAATTAAATTAATTTTATTGGGAATGGAAAAAAAGTCTGTACTCTAACATAATGTCCAGAAAGGAGTTGGAGAGTTGGAGAGTTGGAGAATGTGGAGCATTTATTAAATGAAGATGTGCAGAGGTTTTTTGGTTTGTTTTTCTTGTGTAGAATCTAGCTCCTATAATGCTTTTGTCCTACCTGCTTGCTTACTTTGTAAAGTGCACATATGTTTTGAATACCTTGTTTGACATAGGGTGGACTATGTATTTGAATGTTATGCGCAGTATTCAGTTTATACTTTCTATTGTAGTATAACAGTATTTTTAACACAACATATTTTTGACCTGCCACTGGACTAATACGAATTAGTGTATTAAAATTGTTTGAATGAACATACATATGAACATAATAGGGCGCGTCACAAAAAAAGTTGTAATTGAATGAAGTTGTAATTTGCAATTAATGCTAATGCTTCCTCTGCTGGCCTAAGAATATATTGCCATTCCTAATTGTGTAGACAAGATGTGTTTGTCAAGTTTCCATATTTCCTGTGCAGTTTTAGAACATATATATAATTGCAAAGTTTGAAATGTTATTGAGATGTTTAGTGTGAAATCATTATCTCATCTTTATTTCAGTCATAGGAAGAATTGATGACATTTAATCAAATTTGCGTTAGCATTGTAGGGGCCTATGGAGACCAATTTATTGACAATTTGCATGCTCAATCTCCAGGCTATCCTACCAGACATACAAGCAGCTTGCAGTAGCTGGCAGTACTCTTTTTTATAAGTCCTGCTTAAGCCTGAATTAGTTACATTAACTTGAATAATGAATGAATGAATATTCTTCTTTGTGTAATGTATAGGCATCAATCAAAACAACTCTATTACATTAAATGAACTGTTTTGTACAGTAATAAATGGTTTAGATAAGAATAGAATAACCCATTTCTGAAGATTCTAGAAGTGCAATGCTTGTTTGTCATTCTGTTAGCATTCATGATAAGTTGAACTGGTGAACCTAAACACACCATCACAATAAGAAAAACAAAAACATGTAAAATGCATCCAAACTTCACGTTTAACATGAGAGAAAGCTGGACACAAAAATAACAATTTGCAAGGAGAATTATATTTATAAATTATAAAAATAAGAGTTAATTAGCCAACACAAATCAACAAAACCGCAAAGAATGTTGTGAAGCTTTTTGTGGGACTTATCCAGTTTAACTGGTCTTCACTAGATTTACCTTAGCACCTAAGGATTGTTCAAGAAATAGTCATTTTTTAACTGGGTAAATGTATATATAATTGGGTAATAAGTGACCATCTAGGAAGCTTCAAGGTCTTAAGTCTGCCATCTAAGTCTGCATTATAGTAGTTTTAATTTGTAACGATGAATCAGCAATTGTATATACCTCCCTTGTGAACTCCCCCTGTTTTGGGGTGTTTTCAAATATCGTTCTTTTTAAATGAACCAAACTGAGTTAACGTGAACGTGAAATGAAATCAACTGCAAATGTGCTTTTTGTGTTCACTATGTAAATGAACTATTAAAAGGACTTTCTGGTCCTTTTTAGAATAAAAGAATAACTTTCTGGTCCTTTTTAGCATTGATGAGATCTCAGACCACTTCATGTTCAGACCATAACTCCATTGGAACTCAGACCTCTTTCACGATGGCTAGAGGAACAGCCAGACACGCCTGCTGCTCTCCTATTGGACGTGCTAAAACGACATTGCCGTAGTACATAGCGTAAACAAGGAAAAATTACCTTACCGTATTTCATTCCCATCCGGCGAAAATCCGTGTTTGCAATGAAAACAATATAATTTAGGAGAAGTGGTGATTGTGCATTTATTCAGCGCTCAGTGTGAAAGCAGTTTAAATCTCTGCATTGTGTATGAGCCTAGCATCAGCCTTAAACACGGTAAAATCACACGGGCTTTCGCATTTAATATGTCAGCGCTCCTGTCTTGTCACAAGATCACGGGCAGGGTTTATCCGGAACAGTACCTTATAAATGATCCTTGGTGGTCTGTTTTTACAAGAGATGCCATGCTTGATACCAGAGCATCGAATCAGTGTCGACACTTCGCGCTGCGAATTGTATCGATACAAAAATTCGGTGCCTCGCTTCAAACGCTGGAGTCACGTCATAACCGCCAATGAAGCTTCGTCACGTCACTGAAACCGTTTCAAAACCCCAGGCTTCTTCGATGGGGTTAAACTGGTGAACTCCAAAACGGTTTCTGTTGTTTTCAGTAGTCATATTTAAAATATCTTATACCTTGTTGCTGTATTGTTTGTACACTAATCCATAAATAAAAAACACATCTATAAATGGCCTAGTTTTGTGTCTGATCCCATTCATGCCCACTTACCTAGAGGAAGTTAAAAAAACGTGTGAAAAAGCCGAAACTCGAGGGTTTCCTCGAGAAAGATTGAGTGACACGTACACGGACAGAAAACTTTTTTTAGCCAGCCGAAATAAAGTGAGATGTATGATATGTGAACAAATGCTATCATGTAAGTTCAGCATGGCTCATAAGAAGACAAAGTTATTTTTAGTACGATTTTCTTTATATATATATATGTGTGTGTGTGTGTGTGTCAGTGCTATATTTAATGTTCAACTGATCAAATTAACACATTTTGTTGTATAAAGGTTTATTTGTGCGAATACGCTTCAATAGAAGTATGACAATCAATAGGAAACAGTCTTTGTAGGAAATTGAACTGGACAGTAGAGGGCAGCATGGAGCCAGGTGTGAAATGCTTCAAAACAGTGAACCACCTTCCGATACAGTTGCTTCAACTGTGTTGATGCTTCGTAACGGCCATCACTAGTTTTTACCTGCTGAAGTGCTGGAAGACTTGTTGTGTGCGTACGGTAAGCTTCGAGGTCTTTACCATAAAGCAAAAGTGGACTGGGGCCGTTATGTTTTCACAGTGCACAAATCAATCGGACCACAGAACGAACTACAAACGAACCGAACTAAAAACCATCTCGAGAGGTGGTCCGAAATTGGTTCGTTTTTGGAGCCATTTAGAGGGGTCTGAGTTCGTTTGTTATGTTCACATATGCACAGAAAAACATGAGTCCACTTCAGGTAGCTACTGAAATGGTGCAAGTGTGAAAACGCTCCTCGTCCGAGGTTTTCTCTGGCAAGGTTTGTAGCACTTGCCAATACTGTCTACAGCGTCCTTCTGGGAATCTGATACCACTTGACCAGCAATAAGTGGTTTAGGGAGCTTTCAAATCGACCCTGCTTCTCTGCAGTTCATCCTTCCCTGCCTGGACAAAATGGGACCATAGTGTGTCAGAATTATAGATCCACCCTGCTTGACCTGGATTCAGCTCTGGCGTCTCAGTGGCTCTGTGTGGTTTGTTAAAGTTTGGTGTTTGATTTCCTTTCAGTTTGCCATCTTTTTGCTTATAGTCTCTCCTGTTGGGCCACTGTGATTTAAGATGTGCTGCCATTTGTGGTATGACCCAGTAGCCCAGTAGTATCCTAGTCATCAAAAAGTCATAGTCTGTAACAAAATCCAAAAACTGATGAGGAAGACTGCAGCCTATTCTCGCTTATTAGCAGTACTGGCACACCATTCCTAGAGAAAATGGCTTTCAGTGCTATTGTGACAGGGATTTTCTTAATTTCTATCCACCTTGAGTAATAGTTTATTGCTAGAAGGTAGGTTGTGGTTTTTAGGAAGAACAGATCTCCCCCTACTTGTTGCCAGGGCCATTTGGGTAGAGCTGATGGTCTCATGGGGTCTAAGTGTTTACGCTGACTTTTCAAACAGATCTCACATTGTGAAACTGCTTTAGCAATTTGACTACTCAAGTCTAACCACCACACTCACTGCTCTAGCTCTGCAGCTGGATATACCCATGTGTCCTTCATTCAGACGGGCTAGCATTTTGGCTCATAAGCTCTCTGGGATAAATTAGCAAAGTATAGTTCACCTTGATAGACCCAGTAGGGCTTTATCTATTGAGACAGCTCTTTCCGTCTTGGCCACCCCTCCTTATATTTCTCTATTAGCTGTCTCCAGATAGGTTCTTCTTGTTGCTTATCAGCAGTGTGCTCCAACTTTGACTTAGATGCCGGTAACCACTCATGTATACTGCGTCCACAAACACCTGTGTTTCAACCTCCAGCTCTCTTTCTTCATTGGACAGGCTGTGCACAAATGGAACTCTAGACACTGTTACTAATGCCTTCCCTGAAACAATGGACTGTATGGTAATCAAATCTCAATAATCTGAGGCGAAAACTTTGGATACTGGGGGGCAAATCATCTAGTGCTCTACTTTCACAGGCCCATGTTCCTACCAAGACCTCCTACTTTAACTGTGCATATCATACCTCGTATTCTGTTTCAAACAGAGAGTGTAAATTGAAAGCCACAGGGCCCTACTCTTTGTTATCTTCCATTTTAGTAAGCACTGCTTTTAGACCAAATCCAGACACATTAACAGACACTTTTGTCCTGGAATTAGGTTTATATTGTGCTAGTACTTTGATGCCAGGTCAGCTTTTATCTTTTTGAAAGCTGCGTGCTGTACACTTTCCCATAACCCTTCACTCTCATTAGCCAGTAGATCACACAGTGGTCTTGAAGTGTCTGTGAAAAGGGGGCAGGGATTCTACCCATATATGTGCATTCCCAGAAACAGTCTTACATCTGCAACATTTTTGGGTGTGGGCAAATTTATAATTGCCCTGAATTTTGCTGGGTTTGGTGCTACTCCGGTTGCAGTTACTTTGTGGCCTACAAACAGGACATCTGACTGTGCAAAGTCCATCTAGTACCCATGTGTCAAACACAAGGCCCGTAGGCCAAGTCAGGGCCGCGGCACAATCCTATTTGGCCTGAGCTGCACTACAGTTCCCAGCGTGCACTGTAATGTAGTGTGCGCTCCAACAATGATTTATGTGACAGCACCACCATTTAAAAGCCTAATCTACTTCGAGTGAAGTTACTAAACCTACTGTACATTGGGGAGGTTTAACAGTTATCTGCAGCTAATGTAGTATATTGTTTTATGTAAAACAACTTGTTTTTATTTAAATTTATTTTTGAATTGTTCAAGTATTCAGTGCCTATTTTTTGCTATATTTTGAACAAACAATGGCCAGTTGGGGTCATGGCAAAATGTTAAGTAAAAATAATATAGAAACGCAGCTGGCCCACAGATTTCTAGAGATTTTTAATATGGGCCTTTTAGTGGTTGAGTTTGACACCCCTGATCTAGTAGCTGAGACACACGTCTCTGCTACTAGATCATGGTAAGTTCCCTGCATTCCTGTGCAAGTGGTACTTGCCAGAACCCGGATAGTGCCTCTAGCTTGGTGAGGATTCAGCGGCGCTAATGACTGAGAAAGACATCCATATTTTCCTATTGGGTTTGAGGATGAGCACCATGCCTGCACATTTTGCCCATTTTGAATTTGATGCCAGCAACACGTTCCAAAAAAAGTTGGGACGAGGGCACATTTACCACTGTGTTTAATCACCTCTTCTTTTAAAAACACTCTGTAAGTGTTCGGCAACTGAGGAGACCAAATGCTGTAGTTTTGAACGTGAAATGTTTTCCATTCTTGTTT